GCTACTAGGAGCAAGGACGCTAGGGGCTCCTGGCATCGCTACTAGGACCAAGGACGCTAGGCGCTCCTGGCATCGCTACTAGGAGCAAGGACGAGGGGCTCCTGGCATCGCTACGAACGGAGCAAGGACGATAGGGGCTCCTGACATCGCTACTAGGAGCAAGGACACTAGGGGCTCGAGCAAGGACGCTAAAAAATCCTGGCATCGCGACGAACGGAGCAAGGACGCTAGAGGCTCCTGGCATCGCTACTAGGAGCAAGGACGCTAGGGGCTCCTGGCATCGCTATGAACGGAGCAAGGACGCTAGGGGCTCCTGACATCGCTGCTAGGAGCAAGGACGCTAGGGGCTCCTGGCATCGCTACGAACGAAGCAAGGATGCTAGGGGCTCCTGAACGGAGCAAGGACGCTAGGGGCTCCTGACATCGCTACGAACGGAGCAAGGACGCTAGGGGTTCCTGACATCGCTACTAGGAGCAAGGACGCTAGGGGCTCGAGCAAGGACGCTAGGGGCTCCTGGCATCGCTGCGAACGGAGCAAGGACGCTAGGGGCTCCTGGCATCGCCACGAATGGAGCAAGGACGCTAGGGGCTCCTGACATCGCTACTAGGAGCAAGGACGCTAGGGGCTCGAGCAAGGCGCTAGGGGCTCCTGGCATCGCCACGAATGGAGCAAGGACGCTAGGGGCTCCTGACATCGCTACTAGGAGCAAGGAAGCTAGGGGCTCGAGCAAGGCGCTAGGGGCTCCTGGCATCGCTACGAACGGAGCAAGGACGCTAGGGGCTCCTGGCATCGCTACTAGGAGCAAGGACGCTGGGGGCTCGAGCAAGGACGCTAGGGGCTCCTGGCATCGCTATGAACGGAGCAAGGACGCTAGGGGCTGCTGGCATCGCTACGAAGGGAGCAAGGACACTAGGGGCTGCTGGCATCGCTACGAACGGAGCAAGGACGCTAGGGGCTCCTGGCATCGCTACGAACGGAGCAAGTACGCTAGGGGCTCCTGGCATCGCTACGAAGGGAGCATGGAAGTCTGTTCCAATTCAGAACTGGCCTCCAGCTCCTTCAGCCGCTCCGCCACGAAACGCTCCGCTGCCCGCGGAAGGGCGGGGTCCAACCGGTGGTTTGATGTGGCGTGTCTCGCCCGGTTGGGGGAAAGAGAGCTCGCGGGTCCAATGGGTCCCAGAGACGAAGCGGGGCGTGACATGCACCGGGGAAAGAGCTCGAATGCAAAGCTTCCAACGCCTTCTACGATGGATTTGACGTGCAAAACCCCCACTTGGGTCTCCCAAACACCGAAGGATTTGCGCTGCTGCGGGGTTCACCCCAAACAGCTCGGCTCGGTCGTGCCCCTCTCAGACGACCTCGTGACGCCTGGCTTCGAGACCGCGGATGGGTCCGGTAGAGGGCAGGACCTACTGGGTCCGGAGCAGCGAGAGGATGGGAGATGGTGTCCCACCATCCTGTTTCTTGACAGAACACCCAGGACACACCCAGCAACCCAGCAACCCGGCTGTGTGAAAAAGCCTCGACTCAAACCATGACGGGAAAATCGGTGGTTGTTGCGGTTCCCACCCAGGAGTTGTTGTGGGTATAACACACCCTCCAACCCAGAAGCCATCCGATCTCCTTTTTGTGCGATCTGCCTTTCGGGGGTTGGTGTGCTCCAAGTGGAAAGACGCCATCCCTCTCTTTGAGATGGGACGGCAAGCAGAGACTTGCTCCACCTGTTTGTGGAAATGGTGGAAATGCTGCACTGTAGACTGTAGACTCTAAATTTTATTTCAACCCTCCAGACATGGATTGTAACATCTGTTCACAAGGGGAATTTGATTCATCAACCGTCAACCGCCCTACATGATCAGTTGTTGATGATAACTTCAACCCCCCACAAAAGGGCGTGAAATATCAATACTCAACCGTGTACCTTCGTGTAAGCACGACACGCGAGAGGCCCTTCGTCACGGAGAAAACCGTGGAGTCCGTGAAGTTGACACCCCATCCGTTCGAGTCGCCTCCACGGATCTTTTTGGGGGGTCAAGGCGTGGTAGGGTATTTGGCCTTGAGGCCATCCCTGATGTTACACCAAAATGTTCTTGCACCATGTTTGGGGTGACGGGACACGGTTTACGCTCCGTGGGCGTAAAAGAAACAATTTCATCATGCTTAAGTCACAGACAATGGCAAATGCAATCAAAAACACAGATTCACCCTTTCCTTGGAAAGTGGCTGTGGGCCTTCATGTTATCAAAAAAAAGAGTGGATCTCATTTCAAGATACTTTTATAGAGTGTCATTTTTCGGACCAAGTAAAGGGAAGGGTAAAAAGCACCGGTAACTAATTGATATGTCAGTGATCGTGTGCACTCCTTGTGGCAAGCAAAGCCACCAGTGTTAAGTAGAGGGCTCTGGGGCCCTGGGGTGGCAGCCTGCCATTGCTCATCACCTTTGACCAACTTCACCAGGGCCACCGGCTACAACAGCCGCGGAAGGGTCGGCAAAAAAAGGCAGCAGGCCATTCTTGCAAATTTGAAAGAACACAAAAATGGATGAAGTTTCCGTTGAATAGCGATGGAAAAACCCAAAACCTGCGGCTTTTGTGGTTACACCAAGGCGCCGTCCTTTCGAATGGGCGCCGTCCCTTCGAATCGGCTTTGGTACTGTGCTGATCGGGCGTAACTCAGTGCTGATCTGGCCACGGGTCTCACGGGTCTCCTGGATTTTGAAATGACAGACCCATGTGACAAATCATGTTGGATCTTTCCAGGACACAGCGTTGGGAGCAAGACTCCAGAGGAAAAGCTAAGCTTGGAGGCACATGCAGCCAGTGCTAACACTGAGAACTGCTGTTCCGCCCCGGAGCGCGACCTAGGATCCATGCAAAAAGAAAAACAAGTGTCCTAAAACGATTCAGGACCTGTTTTCTCAAAAGGTTTTTCTGCATGGCATGCAGCCCGACTCCCTGTTTTTCCCCTTATGAAGTGGATACCCATCCTATTCATATGTTGCACCATGTTGGCCGTGATAATCTCTTAGAGACCAGCCGCAAAACCTAAAAAGAATGAACACTCCTGTCCTGCAATTCTTTCATGACCTTCTACAAAGACTGGAGTTTCCTCTCAGGGGGGCCTCCACCCTAGTAGCGATGGCCATCGGATACCCATGAACCCACATGAATCGGATCGATCCGATCGGGAGTGGCGGAAGTCGCGCGTTGGGGACACGGGAACCCGTTTGATGGACTTGTGCTTAGCTAGCTCGTAGGGAATGGGGGCTGGATCCAAAGGAATCCCTAGGGAGCTGCGGAGACCAAATAAACCGTAGGAAAGTATTGCCAATCCAAAAGGCTCAGTTCAAGAAAAGTTGTAGATTTATACCTTTTTTCCTATATACCAGGAGTCAGAAAGGGGTGGGTTTTTAGTCCCATCCAGTGAGTGGATGTTCTGGGCACCCCTATCCTCCAATAGGCACCCCTTTGTGACTGCTGGTACGGTATATATATATGTTGACTTCCATGAGTGCCGCAACCGTGTCTTCCTTCCAGGTGCAAGCATATCGATCGTCGTATCCGCAGGGACATTCATCGGCTGGAGCTGAAAAGGATCGCCCGATGGGTTTTCGATCGACTGGAGTCGGTCGGCTACCGGTGTTTCGACATTGGTAGCGGAGCCTCGGCCAAAACGGTCGAGGCTCCGAGTAGGAACTCGGCGCCGCCATGAGTGCCGCTGCAAGTCAAGACCAAGGTGGTCTGAAGTTTTTCTCTGGCGAGTCCGAAGACCACAAGGACTACCGTCGGTGGAAAGCATGGGTCCAGTCGAAGATGATGACGCTGGACAAAATGCCCAAGGAGGCCCGAGGGGCCTATGTTTTCACTCTCTTGAGTGGCAAGGCTTTGGAGTGTGTAGAACACCTGGATCCCAGCGCATTCCAGAAAGAAGGCGGTGAGAAAGTTCTGTTCGATCTTCTGGATCAGCGATTCTGTCAGAAAGAAGTCACCGATGAGATGTCGGAGGTGCTGACCGAGATCTTCAATCTTCGTGCCGCCGAAGGTGAAACACTCAAAGCCTGGATTAGCCGTGCCACTGAGTTGTTCGATCGATGCGCTCGCAAAACGAATGTCACGTTTCCTGAGGAGGCTCGAGGATGGCTGATCCTCCACAGGAGTGGGCTCAACGACGAACAAAAAGCTGTGGTCGTCGCTCGATCCTTAGGGGTCATGAAGCGAGAGGAGATCGGCAAAGCAATGCGCAGCTGCTACCCCGAGTTCGTGATGAAGAAGAAGCACATAGCTGGCGTTGCAACGCTGGAAGAATCCATCGTAGGAGAGCCCGTTTCTGAGATCTCCGACCTCGTCGACGACTTCAACGATGTTGAACAATTTCTTGCTGAGTATCAGCAAGACGAGGCTCTTGAAGAAGAAGTCTATGAAGAGGCCGAGGTCGCAGAAGCATTGGCGATCAGCTGGAAAGATCGACGGCAAGAGCTGTCGAGGTTGCAGAAAGCTCGCAACTTTTCTTCGAATGCCGCCAAGTCCAATGAGCTCAGAAGAAGTTTTCGTGTAGAAGTTGAAGAGTTGAAGAAAAAGATACGCTGCCATCGCTGTGGACAATTGGGACACTGGTCCAAGGAATGTCGAAAAGGAAAAGGCAAAGGCAAGCAGTCTTCTTCCTCGAAGGGCTCCTCAGAGACTGGTGCAGCCCTGGTACAACCCGCCCAAGAAGATGATGAGCAGTTTGTTGCTATGGCACAGCATTTTGCAAGTTGGTCGCCGCTTGACATCCTGCGTTCCACGAAGCGAGCAACAGATTCCTCGATTCCTGATTGGACCGTGCACGAAACTCTGCTGGTTTCAAGCCCTGGTTTCGGGGTGATCGATTCAGGATGCGGCCGCACTATTGTCGGCCGTGAGACACTTGCCAAGTTCAAGCAAATGTGGCAGCAACACGGCATGTCATGCCCTGAGCCTGAGCCTGAGATCAACTACTTCAGGTATGGCAATGGTGAAAAAGAGACCTCCACTGAGGTGCTGGCCATGCCAGTTCGAATCGCTGGCAAGTCTGGATCCATCCGTGCAGCCATCGTGCAAGGACAAGCCCCATTGCTGATCTCGCGTGCAGCTCTTCAGAAACTCAAGGCAACACTGGCCTTCGGACAAGGCACCATGACCATATTTGACGATGCAGTGCAGGTGCCTCTCCACACCAATTCCGCTGGACAGTTCATGATTCGAGCCTTGCCCGAGGAAACCAAGGGCAAGGAAGTGCAGTTCTCGGAAGTTATGGCCTCTCAGGAAGCCAACAGTTGCTGTGATCATGAGCCTACAATCGCACCTTCCATGCCAGAGACCGCCTTAGATCTTGAAGAACAGGCCCAAGACTCCGCTGACACAGGACATCCAGGGTCGTCTGTTTGGTCTCGTGTGGATGAAGGTTTGACCTTAACGCCAGTGACGGGCAAACAGGCCCCTTTTTGGCACACAGTCATCCACAGGACCATCCACGATCTTGACACCGGTAGGATAGTGAGCGATCAAACTATCGATCATAGCAAAGATAAGAGATATTATATCCAACCTTTGCCGCAAGACGTTCGCAGAACTCGAACCGACTTCGTGTTTATGCCTCAGGAACACGTCAACACGATCGAGAGCCTGCCAGTTCAAGTGTGCCGACAGTTGCCGACAGTTGACGGCACAAATCAAGCAGGCACCAAGTCGAGTCGGCTCCTTTGTGCAGGGGAAGCGTTTCATGTTGGCTGAGATTTTCAGCCCTCCTCGTTTCGCTCCGTCCATCGAAGCAGTAGGCGGTTTTGCCATGTCATGTGATCTCAAAACCGGGTATGATTTCTCAAAAGCCCAATGCCGAGAAGAAACCAAACAGTTCCTCAAACAGCATCCTCCAGATCTTTTGGTACTGTGCCCTCCATGTACGTACGAAGGTGGTTGGTTCAACCTGAATGCTTGTACCATGGATCCAATGGAGTATTTGAAAAAGCGTCGATTGAGTCGGTTGTTCATTCGCTACTGTTGCGACCTGTTTGAGCAACAAGTACAGGCCGGGAAACAAGCCTTGTTCGAACATCCATTAGGAGCTAAGACATGGACCTATGAAGAGATGCAATGTTTGTTGAACAAGTACTTCCATGTCAAGTGCCACATGTGTAGGTTTGGGTTAAGACTTCCCCACAGCAAACAATACATCCGAAAGGCCACCAGGTTGCTCGTGAGTCATCAATCAATGACAACCCTAGGCCTCACGTGTCCTGGAAAGAGAGACCCCCATCACACTTGTCACAACGTGGTGGCGGGAACACATGCTGAAGTGGGATCGATTAGCCAATATGTTGCACAATACACACCGGCATTTGTACAAGCTGTTCTGAAGACCGTGCCGGCCTTTGAACGTGCCCAACAGGTGCACCTCGTGCAGATTAGGCATGATTGCCCCATGGAAGTTCATGAAGTACTTGTGAGTCGTGAAGAGATCCAAGGGGAGGATGAAGAAGCCATCAAACGAGCCCTGCAGCGACTGCACAAGAATCTCGGCCACTGTAGCACTAAAGATCTGGTTCGCATCCTCCGACATGGATCTGCGTCCGACAAAGCCATTGAGATGGCCAAGACGTTGGAATGTGACCTGTGCAAGTCCCAAGTTCGACCACATGTGCAATTGCCTGCCAAACCGACACGCTCCTGTGAGTTCAATGTGTCAGTAGGAATAGATGTAAAATGGCTCCCAGACTGGCAGGTCAATCAGAAGGTCAAAGCTCTAAACATTGTTTGTCAAGGGTCCTGTTACCAACAGATGATTCCTTTCTTCGAACGGGAAACCTCATGTCTCCTCCGACAACTGTTCGATAGTCACTGGATCCAATGGGCAGGAATCCCTAGAGAAGTCATCATGGATAGTGCACAAACAAATCTAGGAGAAGCCATGCAAGCGTACCTTGATGATCAGGGCATCGTGGTCCGAACAATTCCAGCAGAAGCGCACTGGCAGCTTGGTAGGACAGAGGTTCACGGCGGGTGGTTTTCCAAAGTTCTTGAGAAGGTAATCCTAGAACATTCACCAACCACTCGAGAAGAATGGGAAGCTTGTGTTCGACATGCTCATGTAAAGAACCAAATGATTCAAAATTATGGTTACACTCCCCATCAACATGTGTTTGGAAAGAACCCAGACATTCCAGGTGACTTGTTGAGTGAACCGCTGCATGTCGTACCAGGCACCGCCGGTCTTGACGATTCCGCCATCGCCAAGTCCCAAGCCATTCGTACAAGCGCCAGACAGGCTGTTGTTGCCATGCAAGATGACAAAGCCTTGAGACAGGCCTTGGCTGCTCGACCTCGTGCCATGCTGTCGTATCAACCAGGCGATCTCGTGTGCTATTGGCGACAACAGAAAGTGGGTCAAGGTGTGGTTCAACAAGGTGGACGTTGGTATGGTACTGCAATTGTGATAGGTCAGGTCGGGAAGAATTATGTGGTAGCTCACCGTCGTCACATCTTCCGGTGTGCGCCTGAACAAATGAGGCCAGCGACCACCGAAGAACGAGTCTTGATTTCAACCCCTCAAGCAGAGCTGTTAGGTATTCGAGATCTTGTGGAAGGAGGTACCTTTAAAAGCCATCAGTTCATTGACTTGGTTCCAGGACACTATCCCTCCGAAGATCAATCAGTGAAATCAGACTCGGATAAAGGAGACACACCCCCATCAGCACAGCAGCCAAACATGTCGCCTGATCACGAGCAGTCCGAAGCACAGACTTCCGATGCCTCTGCTGTACCAGGTCCCATGACATGTGAGCCAGCACGAACTCAAGAGACACATGCCTCAGTCTCTGCTGAAACACCGTCACCTGAAGGGTTGACCAGTGCACCAAGCTCATATGGTCCAATACGATGGAGGGTAGATCAGAAGTCCGGCGCTCCTGCTCTCTACAGACCGCCTGCAATGAGACAGGACGATTTCGTAGAAGTCATGAGAGAAGTGCTCCCTCAACTGCTTCAGGACGCCACAGAAACCAAAGAAGATCAGAACATGGTACATGGACAGAAAAGAGCCCTGTCTCCAGACCCGAACACGACGGCCGAGTCGTCCGCTGCTCGACCACGCACCGAAGCGTACGATGAAGTCTTGTCTGTACAGGAAGTGGACATGCATCTCGGAGAAAGCATCGAGACACTCATTGCCGCACACATCCAGAAGAAACTGAGTAAAGAGTTGTCCCCTTCAAACAATCCCCCAGAGTTGCAGAAACTAGTTAACTTGTCTAAGGGAGAAGAATGGAACACGATTTCCGACAAGGGAGCAATCCGTTTGCACTTTGGTAAAAAGGCTAGACTCATCCGGGCCGAGCACGCAGACCGTTTCATCGGATCGAGGTTCGTGATCATCAGAAAAGCAACACAAGACGGAGTCAGCGTTGATCCAAGTGATCCATCCACTTTCAAAATCAAGAGTCGATGGGTCCTTCAGGGACATTTAGATCCTGACTTGGAAGAAAGGGCTGCATCTGGGTTGCTTCAATCACCAACCCTCAGTCAGCTAGGTAGGATGGTTCTGATGCAGATCATTGCCTCTCATAAGTGGGTCCTACAGCTAGGCGATATTAAGGGCGCATTCTTGGAAGCAGGCGAACTCCCAGACAAGTTCAGACCTCTTTACGCAAAAATGCCACCAGGAGGCATCCCTGGAGTTCCAGAAGATTGTGTCATCGAAGTAGTCGGAAACCTATACGGACAGAACGATGCTCCAAGAGCTTGGCATAACACCTTCGATCGTGAAGCAACTCAGGCAGGTTGGACCCGATCGATCCTCGATCCATGCCTGTACACACTGCGTTGTCCCAACAGCAATAGCTTGCTGGGACTCGGCGTTCATGTCGACGACACCGCAGTAGGAGGTGAGGGACCCCTGTTTGAAAAGTCCTTAGAGAAACTGAAAGCCAGGTTCCCATACCGGAAGTGGAGGATATCCAATGGTGAATTTTGTGGTGCCATGTATGATCAATGCCCAAAGACGTTTGACATTGAGATGTCACAGGCAAGTTTTGCAGAGGGTTTGAGACCAGCTCACATCCCCAAAGGCGTTTCCTCCAATCAGTTGCTCAATGAACAACAAATTAGGGTCCTCCGAGCAATCAACGGTAGCCTTAACTGGTTGTCATCGCAAAGCCGTCCCGACTTGTCATGCCAAACAAGCATGTGTCAACAGGGCCTACCTAAACCGACCATCCAACATCTCAGAAGTGCGAACAACACTATTCGAAGGGCCAAACAATTCAAGGACCTCAAAATTCGTTTTAGATCCATTGAACCTGAGTCCCTGACAATATGCTGTCATAGCGATGCAGCGTTCGCCAACGTAGGTAGCCACACACAAGCCAGTTATGTTTTGGCTTTTGTTCATAAGAAGTTGCATGACGGCAAGGTGTCTCCATGGACGCCAGTGGCTTGGAAAAGCTATAAGTTGCCAAGGGCCGTGAGTTCCACCTTAGGAGGTGAAAGCCAAGCCATGTCAACTGCCAGTGGAACGGCAGAATGGCTGTCACTCCTCCTTTCAGAGACCTTGGATGGCCCTTTCAAGGCAAGAGACGCACGAGACCTGTTGCAGAAGAGACCACCAGTCCTTGTATTGAAACTTGAAACGATCACCCATCCTGGCCACAGATTGTAAGTCATTGTATGACCACCTGATTTCCCCCTCATCACCAACGTCAATAGAAGATCGAAGAACATGTATTGATATAGTGATACTTCGGGAATCTCTTCAGTTGACAGGAGGTAGCATTCGATGGCTTCCCACGAAGTGGATGTTGGCAGATGGCTTGACCAAAGACAGCCAAGAGCCAATTGACTTGCTTCGATCCTGTGTCCGTCAAAGGACATATCAGATTTCTCCAGAGGACACGGTTCTCAGACAACAAGCTGAAGAACGCGAACGAAGGAAAAGCTTGAAAGCCGACGTCATGGATAATTCAGTGCAACTATAGTTGTTGTTTAAGAGCATAGAGTTTGCAGTAAGAAAGGTAGTCATCGGTAGACTACAGGGAATACTGTGTCTTGAAGCTCTTGTGTTATACGTTTTCTTGCATCAGTAAATAGCTGAGCAGTTTTGTCATAGCATGCAGCCGTGTCACAATGTTTCGAGTGTGTTGTCAAATTGTTTTGCTGTGATCGGTCTTGAAAGAAGTTCCTCATTCAGACCAGGGACAGGGTGGCAGCCTTAGCTGTTGTCCTGCTCACTAGTCGTTTTCTATTTTAGCCTTTTGTGATCAAGAGCACGCGCCGCATTTGTTTCTTGAAAGGCATACCGAAATGCCGCTCACTCCCGATGAAGCAGCACAGCTTCGCTATCTGATGGCCAAGGCGTCGTCAGACCAGGTGATGCCATCCCTGCCAATCGATGCACCAGGTATTGCTTCCGGAGCTGCTGAACCAGACTCAGGTTTCAGCTTGATTCCCTTCTCTGGATCGATGACTGACGCCTCCAAACGTCGAGAGGAGTTGTCAGCAGCCTCGCCGCAACCGAAGAAGGAACGTGGATATGGTCCATCAGCACATCCCAAGTTCAAGGCCTCAGGTTCCATGGAAGGATCCTATGCTGCCACCGAAGGAATTCCACCTCCGATGCCAGGTTCAGATTTGAGCTCAAGTATGCTGCCAACGTTGCCTCCGGATGTGATGGACATGCACCAATGGGGTCGCACTGTCATCCAGTTCGGACAGTACAAAGGTTTGAACATGACTTACCATGATTTGGCATGCTCACCCGAAGACCGAGCCAAGTCATATGTAAAGTGGGTAACGGCACGTCAGCGATCAGCGTCAGGCCTGTTGCTTGATCTTTCAAATTATTTGAGCCGTTTCATCGCCGAACGTGATGCAGCAGAAGATGCCGCTTGGGAGGGACCAAAGATCCCCGGCACCGATGTGCCTCGCACCTATAAGTAGAGATTCAATTCGTAAGAGTTGAAGCCTTGTCAAGAGAAGCCTTGGTTCGAACTTTTTATAGTTTAAAAGCCGTGTTGACTTCCATGAGTGCCGCAACCGTGTCTTCCTTCCAGGTGCAAGCATATCGATCGTCGTATCCGCAGGGACATTCATCGGCTGGAGCTGAAAAGGATCGCCCGATGGGTTTTCGATCGACTGGAGTCGGTCGGCTACCGGTGTTTCGACATATATATATATATATATGTATATCTTTGTGTGTGCATTTCAATAAAGTTGATGCATGGAAACAAAAAGAATGGTTTTCTTTCTCAGCCGGAAAACGGTGATCGAGCGAAAACCGTTCTTTTTCGGGTGAAACAAAGCCGAGTACCAGGGGCCGATCCAAAGCAACATCCAAAAAGCTGGAGATCTGAAGTCAATTCGCCAAACGGCGGTGGAGATCCGTATCAAAGACGCCGTTCAGCCGTTCCAAAGGTCCCTTTACTTCTAATTATACTTAATTACTTAAACTTATTTTGTTATTTTGTTGGATATGATGTTCAAGCGCCGGCTCATCACTTGATCTGCAAAAAGGGTCGCGGTATCCCGTGGCGTGCTACGGTCGAAAGTTCCATGCACGCGCTCCGCGCGTGCTGAGAAGACGGAAGTGGAGTCTGTTAAATTCTCGCCCGTTCCGACGAAGTTCTGGAACAAGCCAGAATCAGCTCTAGAACGAGGCAAAGAAAGCTTCGGTCCGTTTGGCAAAGAATGCCAACACTTCAATGTCTTAGTTGAAATCAAAAAGTCCTGTCTCTTTCGTCCCACAACACATGACCGGACATTCTCCGGTGGTGGGTGGGTGTCCAACAACGAAGACCAAGAATATGTGAAGAAGGCCAAAGAAGAAAGAAAGACAAAAGCAAGACCAAAAAGGAAGACCAAAGGTTGTTCAACGGGAGGTACCGAGAGAAGTCTAGTATCTCCAGGTGAGTCAAGGCTGGGCGCCTGGGTCTGAGAACAAGGCGGGATGGGCCTCAAAAAAACAGTGCTGTTCGTCGAAGAGCTGTTAACTGCTTGGTGTTTGATTCCGAAAGAAAGAATTTAAAAAAGAAAGAAAGAAAGAAAGAGATGGATGGATGGATGGATGGACGGATGGATGGATGGCTGGCTGGCTGGAGGGAGGGAGGGAGGGCTGGTTGGATGGCTGGCTGGATGGACGGACTGATGGATGGATGGATAGATATAGATAGGTAGATTGGTCGATGGATAGATGGATAGATGCTTAGATAATAGACTAATAGATGTATAGAGACATAGATAGATGACCCCAATCAGAAGCTACAAGTAACCAATTCTCGGAGGAATCTCAGATTTCAAATGGATCATGTCGCCATTGACCAGAGGGATCCAAGCTTTCTTTCAGCCCTTCGCTGTTCTGTGCTGATCAACGTCCATGAAGATCCGGCACCTCCAGGGATTTATTGTGCTTCCTCCAGGAATTAGTGCCATATGTTCCTTCCCATACATTCCAAGCTTAAGCTTTATGGACCTCAAAACCGAGGAGTGCTCTTTCAAACGTTGGGTCCTCGGTTGCCCTCATCTTCATGTGGGGAATTCATCCCACTGATTTGCATCAGTCATTCATGTCCGAGAATGCCAATCCCCCAACCTGCTTGGAACGAATTCGATTCGTGTCGGTGCTGCAGATTCCCAAGTCATTGCTGAACATGACTTGTGTGTGTGTGTGTGTTTGTGTCTCAGAAGGGGGAGACCTCCCAAAGACACCCTGAAGAAAGGAGAATAGACCATCCTACCCATTGGTTGGGGATCTCCCAAATAAAACCAAAACAAAACACACCCACATCTGCCCTGGCTCGCTCAAGTGGCTCGCTCGAGATCTGCATCGAAAGCACCCCAGAGTTCATCGGATCCGCACGCCAACTCGAGCGAGGATCGACACGAGAAAGCGGCCTTTGACGACCGGCGCAGATGATGGGAGGCAGGGGGGGCGCCTGGATGGCCTGCCCGAGGAAAGAAGGGACCACCGATGAGGATACTGACGAAGTGCTCCTGGTAGGAACCACCAATGGCCATCCATGAAGCCTATCCATGAGATTGCCATGGGCATGCATCTTCGGCAGATCGATGATATGTACTCTTCAGGGAAGAAGGACAGCTCTCCGGCACTTCTGGGGTTTTGTGCGGTTCCAAATGCCGCCAATGGGATGATCCTCCCAAGCTCAGCCCGAAAACGGCCGAAGCCCTGAGCCCTCTGAGAAGGAGCTCTTAGAGCGCAATCCCTGAAGAGTGGTCAAAACCACTTCAAAGCGATTGGCCCTCAATTTCTTGGTTGTTTGTCATGGCAGTTCAGCACGGGGAAGAAGCTGCTCATCTCTGATGACATGACAGCAAAATCGCTCTGGAAAAGAAATGTGACACTACTTACTAGTCAGTGATCTTGCTGAGTATTGAGTATTCATATTCATATGTGAAACATCGTCTACAAGCAGCCTGTCTATGTCACTGCAGCCAACCTAACCTAATAGCGATGACCTCCACCCACCCTAGTAGCGATGGCCTTCAACCTAGAAGTAATATCACTGCAGCCAACCATCGTCTAGTTCCACAGTTGTTGGTGTGCCCCCTACAGGCGCCATCATCCACGCCCTCATCACGTCGCTTGCGCGGAGTACACGCTAGGCCTGCCGGAGGGATGGGTTGAAACCGGATGGGTTCGCAGCCAAAGTCCGTTGAGGATGGGTTTCAGGGTCTGGTATAGACAAACCTCAACCAGGAGTCACCTGTCGGGGTGAGTGGATGTTCTGGGCATCCCTATCCTCCAAGTTCGGCACCCCTTTTGTGACTCCTGGAATGATGATCTCCTTGCGAGGGTGTCCTTATGAAGAATCATTGTCTTCGGACTACTTTCGCCTCCTACCCCAAATCCTACACCTGGAGGCCAGGATGATCCTAGCCTTCAGGTGACAGAGAACCCAGTTTTTGAAGACCCCAGGTAAGTAGCCTTCTCATGTATGCGCACATGTTTTGATAATGGGATTAGTACAAAAAATGTGTATTTTGGCGTGCACTGTACGTAGTAAGTATGTAGAGCGGCTCGCATTGGAAGCCTCTATCTTTCACAACAAATCCGAGAATCAAACACGAATTGACAAAGACAACTCTGACGGTCTGCCTAAATATTCCCCTGGATTAGACCCATTCCTCAACTTCCCAATTGAGTTTTGATTGTCGTTGGCTGATATATGTATATATATATATATATATACGCCTAGAAAAAACGCATTGGTTCAATGGTTGTGTGTTCAGTCGAAAGGGGGCATGAGCGCGGGAGGCCAAGTGTGAGATACTCTTCAGATCTGCAAATGCAAATCAAAGACTGGGCGCCCCTTGCCTTCGTAGTTCCACGATGCCTTCAGTGTTTAGATCCTCAAAGGCAGAGGGAACTGTCAGGGTGCGATCGACATATCTGCTCCAGCACAACCGGTGCTGTGGATTCCCAGTTCAAACACCCCGACGTTTTCCAGGAAAACGGACCTGTTCTGACTCTTGGGAATCTAGAGACCTATAGTATCGGAGTGTGCCAGGAACATTCGGGTACAGCTGTAAAGAACTGGCAGTGTATTTTATCCATTTGGGAGATCCTCCCAGTTCGACTGGTTCGGAACATAGACAAATGGCTGGGTTCGGTCAGGTGTCTCCCAACTGAAAATACTCAAAACGTTGGAAGAATCACCGGCTCCGGGCCCTTTGGCCACTCATGGTGACTGAAGAAGCTGTGCGGATGGCGCACGGCGCATGGCTCGGCCCGATTGGCTCGTCCGGAGAATGAAAGACCACACAAAGAATGGTTTGACAAGGGGGCCTGAAAGGTATGTCTTTTACTTTATATACCAAGAAAAAATGATAAAAAAAATGTATATATAGTCTTTGGACTTCTAATTACGGTCTATGACTTCCTTCCACCACGGGCACTTTCTTCCTCTGCATCAACCTTCTTCCCCAAAGGTACCCTCTGCGGAAAAACAAGTAATAATACAGTAATCTGCGAGATGGGTGGTGTATCGACTGAGCGGTCCAGTCGAAGCGTTCGCCTCCGGGAAAACCAAGACACGACTAATGGGACTGGCATATTGACCTACATTCACCCCTTTTCAACCACCCCAATGTATGTATGCAAATTTAAATGAAATCAATCGAAGCTGAGGCCGCCGGCGTTATTCTTCACCTTCATTCCTCGTGGGAGACGGCCCGTGCTGAGACGGTCCCAACGACCAGGCGAAGCCCGGAGTAAGGGCCGATCAGAAGACTAAAGACTCACCTGTTTGTAGAGAAAAAAAGTCTTCCTCCAGGGCCCCCCTAAAGAGTGTCTATTTGTAGCCTATGTCATCCTACAGTATCTACTAAGTTACTATCTTCCTACCTGTTGACCTATCTATAATCTATATCTATCTATTCATACCAGCACCTTCCAACAGGCTGTTTTGGGACCCTAACAGGTGGTTTCTAGGCATCTGTTGCCACCAGGAAAATCCTGTTGGAGGGTCCGGGTATCTAGACGATTCTTCACTTTTCTCATCATCTGCCGCTCTTCTCTCAAGGGCCAGGGACGAGCGATGTCCCGCGCGGCACTCGGACGCGCGGACCGCTTCAGTCGCGATCAAAAACGTCATGTGAAACGACGGTCGTGATCAAAAGGAGCCAATTAGAGAAAACGGTGGCCAAACAAAGCAAACGCGAAAAAGGTGAGACCCACCCAGAAGCGCTCAGATCGGGGGAAGTGAAGGTGAAAGGCCAGGCCTTTCCCATCCTGTCCCTCTCCTCCCTCCAACACTGGACAACCCCAAGACCCGAAAATTCGACCGGGTCCAGACACCCTTATTTAAACAGTTATTTTAAATGGAAAAAGTTTAAATGGACAAAGATGCATTAGAGCAAGAATTCCAAATAAAAGTATGTATTTTCATATGAATAAAACTGTACCAAAACAATAAGACAACCCGGCAACCCCACCATTCGGGTCCAGACCTCCTTCCTGACCGCGTGACCGCATTTGACCGCGTTCATTTGGGCAGACGTGCAAGTCCAGTCTGACCCGATTCCAGTCTCCTGGTCCTTTATGACCCTCATGTCCGGTTCGTGCCTCTTTGTATGATCCGCTCCAGTCAAATGAGGAACTCAACGAAATGTTCAAGGAACTCAAGGAAACTCGAAGAAAAAAAACCAGACCATCCATATAGGTTTTCTTTCAACGCATGGACCCCATGTATGGGAAACTCTTCCTTTCAAGGGATGGTCAACCATCATTCGATTCCCAGCCTTGGACGGTGTCAAAGAGCTGCTTCCCGCCTTTCCACTCCTTTCCCGCCTCACGCGCGGGGTCCCAGCGGCGAGATTGGGAGGTGCTCCCGCTGCGAAGCCGGTTTCAGCAAGACTTCACAGATTCTCAAGACCACTGTTCTCGGTGATCCAAAAAAGTGCTCAAACTGAGTGAGTGTCCCAAACCCCTAAACCAGAACGTGTTTACAGATCAAATGATCGAATGTGGGTCTTGCTGGCCTGTTGCTGTTTTGTGGCAGGGGTTATGAAAGAAAACCGCTTGGTGCTCAATCCCAAGGCTGGAGAGGAGTTTAACCAAATTGGATTGGGTATTATAGGTCACTGTAGAATCCTGGTTCGTAAAACTCCCTCATTGAAATGAAAAGCCTCTTCATCTGGGGGGTTGATGACTCAAGATCGAAATGATGCCGTCATATGTTGTTATAAAAGTTGGTGAGGCTTGCGCTCCCTCAACTGCACCTGCGACCAATTCCTCCACAAACCGGATTTGGATGCGTGCCTTTCTGGCCAACCAGGTCACAAAACAGGACTCTGCGCGACCGCCCGGTGGCACGGCACATCACGGCCCAGCTCGGTCGGCCCGGATTCCGGCGTCCGCCTCTCCACACCAGATTCCGGAAACTCGGGCCGCCCAGGTCGGTCGAGTTAGGTGAGGACTGAAAGATGTGGGAAAAAGGAAAAAGGAAAAATATTTTTACAAAAAAGAAACATGAGGGGAACTGTTCATTTTGGGGAGATAACTGTTCATGGGAGACGACTGATTGATGACTCCGTATTATTTCCCTCCATTACGAACGATGTCCGATATTGTCATCTGCTTGTGCAAACATAGAAACATGGAAAAAGCGGCCGTCGTGTCTTTTTCGGAGCTGCTCATTTTCCAGCCTTCTTGATGACCTGCACGATGGGGGAGACATTCAACTGGTATTGATAGTCTCCACCTTAGGAGCACAGGAGAGCTGTTGTTGTGGTGGACTCGGTGGGGACTGGTGGGGAACGATACTGATTAGGACTTACTCCTGGGATGGAGTCAAGGCCATCTTCCAGGACATCCTTCTTTCCCCCCCGGCAGCAAATGCTTTAAAATTGGGCTGTTGGGTCACCTGGACACCCTGGTTGACCACTGAAAAGGAACAGAATAAACTAGACATAGTCACTTGACTCCAGGCTTTGGGACTTTCCAGCTTTTGACGGCACAGTCAATTTGGGACCATTGACTCCAGGCATCGCCCCCATGGTTTTGAGAATGGAGACGCGGCGCGGCCACGTGGGTGATGGACCAAACCGACGAACCGACAAACCGACCTGGTCACGGGGTGGAACCGGTCACGGTCGGCCTTTTGGGGTATCTCTTTCTATTCTGAGCCAAGGGGAGACGGGGAGACCGGCCCAAACCGATTTGATCGAACAATGTCTAACATCTGAGTCCCCTTTTCTGTTCACCAGGCGGAAGTGTCGCAGAGTTGACGTGCTCCAAATGGCACCATGGCGGTGCTGCCTCAAACTCGTGGTGGAGAAATTGGGAGACCTCCAACCACCTGGTTTGGGGACCAAGTCCGATCCTTTTAGAGAGCGATTGGTCCGGTCCGCCCGACTTCAAGGTCCCACCTCGCTCCCGACTTCCATCCTCCCGAAGCCACCGGTTTCACCCACCCCCGATCGCCGGGTCACTCTTCGCAAGGATTAACGTCCGCCTCGCCGCCCTGAAGACGCGAAGGAAACCCGCCACGACCCGGCCACGACGCGAAGCGGACATCAAAAACGGTCGAGCCCCGGAGTCAGGGGTGGTTTTTTAAAGACTGAACTTAGGAAAGAACGATCGGAAAATGTTCAGGCAGCGGAAAGGTCGAACTGGTCATCTCGAAGACCCCACTTCGTCGACTCCCAGGGTGGCAGGTCACGCCAATCTTTGGACTTAAAGCAATGGACTTCGAGGTGGGGGGGAACGTGAAAGCACGCCGTGAAAAGAGCGGGGGCAACACGTGTCATTCCAAAACGAGGTCTGTCTCTTCGACCCAGAATCGGTTTTTTTTTGACGCGGACAGTCATCGCGTGGTGTTTGGAACCTCCTATAGGCTATCCTGGATGAGAGCATTTGTCTTGCGAATCGCGCTTCGATAGGTGAGTCAACCGGAAGACAATTCTAGGTCAGGGGAGCTACTTTGGAGCTATGCTTCGGCTGTTTCATACATCATTGGATCAACAAAGGAATGTCGGTCAGCTAAGATTTGGCCCAAGGCTTAAGGATTGACCGGGACCTGAATGAATGTGAGCTGTTTCGAGGGCACCTCCCAGAAGAAATCAGTCAAAACGAACTGAAGTCTCAGTGGCTCAAGAATTGAAGTGACTTGCAACAGCTTTCAGGACAAAAGAACACAAGCCACCACATCTGCTAAGTTGTTTCGGCTCATCACCTCCAGTCCTGTGATGCCTTTAATCGAAAAACCGCTCCTCCGTTCTTCATCCGCTTCTTTCATTGACCGCGCTGCGTTTCTTCGTCCCAAGACCTGGGTGTCCCCAGCCGGTACACGTGGTCGATCGCCCCCAGTGCCGCTGACATATTGTCACCCGACCTCGGAAGCGACCCGTGCCGGTTTATCAGACCGACTCGACCGGGGTCGAACGGGAGGGGGGAAGGTTCTCCCTATTGAAATACACCCAACGTGCTGCACGTGTTTCACGTGTGCAGGCAAACTACCCCTAGCCTAGTCTGGAGGTCAGAGTTTACCGAAAAGAAAAATCACCGGGCGTGTTCTCTTTTGGGAGTCGCGTCCATTCCATTTGCAGTGTCGTGGTCGTGGTTTTTCGACAGCCAAGACACACGTCGGTGAGGTCCTCGCCCAATCCCATCCTGCGAGGTTTCGATGGCAACGCATGCATTTTAAGCCTAGTAGCTTCTTGTTCCCTTCGCAGCCATGGCCTCCAACCGAGCATGACCTCCTGGCCTCCACCGGTCGCGTAGCGGTCCTTGCCTATGGCTGTTCGTCCTTTGCGGACCCAAGGCCCTTAAGGGAGTCGTAACATTGATGCGACCGAAGGTAACCCAGAAGCCCCTTAGAAGTCGAGAAGGCATGGGGCCAAAGCTTGGGTCAACTTCTGGGCTGGGGTCAAAGGTCGTCAAGGATGGCGACTGATAGATCCACCGAGCTTGATCCACCGACCATAAAACCAAAACCACCAAAAATGTTGGATATTTGGAAGGTCCAGGTGTGTGTCTCTTTAGGAAAACGCGTTCCCAAGGTCGCACGAATCGCTTGGTTTCCTTCTTTTTGGATGGGGCGCGACCGCAGCCCAGGTCTATATGCCCCGATTGGGAGGGGCCATGGGGGACAATCCTGGGGCCATGCTTGAGACGATCCTACTACCACATGCCCGTCTTTGAAGTGGTCCCATGGGGTCGAAAACTGAGGAGGTGTTCCTGTGGAGGTCGAAAACTGAGGTCGAAAACTGACGTACCACCATTGAGTCACTATGAGTAGGCCAGTAGGCGTGTTAGTAAGTACCTCTTCAAGGTATCTCTTCAAATCAATCTTTCTACCAAAAATCTGTTGGTGTCCTTCTTTTTGTTGGTGCAATTCTGCGTGTCAGTCTGGCGTGTGTTCGACTCCCTCCTCAGCCCGCTTCCCGCCCCCCCCATCCCCTGGCGTCGCCCACGCCGGTCCTCAGCAAATCGGGACCATAGTAAAGCCTCGGACCGGACGAGACCGGTCCCTTGCCGACCGGTCGAGACCGACCGGTCGACCACGGGGTCGCGTGTGGAGGAAGACATGGTTGGAGTCTTCACATGGTCACATGTCATTCACTTGTGAAGACTGTGAAGACACATGAATGGGGTTTTTCGTTTGGTGTACGTGTGTGTTAAAATAATTAGGGCCCAAGGCGTTCGGACGCGCTGGAAGAAGAGAGGTCTCCCTATGAAAATAGACCTGCCAATGTTCACAAGCTGGAGAAAGAGAGGGAGAGGAGAGAGAGGAGAGAGAGGAGAGAGAGAGAGAGAGACTCCATCTCGCACCGGTTCCGGTCGTCGGATGTGATGCATCCACAGGTCCTGGTGAAACAATCTCCAGCCGCTAAGAATCAGGTGACCACCAGTCCTGGCTTTCCCCCCAGACTCGAGACTGTTGAACTTGAAGGAAGATAGGAGACAAAACAGAGCTCGCATACCAGGAGAGTGGGGCCCGCTGCCATTTTTAGGTGTACCTTTTCGCAAGTAGGATGAACTTGTGAAGCACAGGGAAGAATTGTGCATAAGAGTGGCCTGACACTGAATTGGCTACGGGATGTCAGGATGATTTTGCACGCAGCCTGGTCCTGGTCCTGTTGCGGAGCGTGTTTCGCATCGCTCTACCTTCGACATCCAAGCTTTTGACGTCAGTTCTGTGCAAACTTGTTTAAAGAAAATGGATGGTAGATCTCAGGGAAAAACGTCACTCGCACTTTCGTGTGGGAAGAACGTCACCCGCTCCCTCAGTCAATACTGCAGAACCAATAGTGAGTTGTGTCCTTTGTGGGGAACCTGACACCAAGGACCACGAAGTATTTCATTGCCCTCATTTGCAAGATCTGCGGCAGCAGTATGATTCGCTCTTCCGCCTCATTGGAGATCTTCCATTGGCCTTTCGGAACTTTGGTCTTGTGGAGACACAATGGCATGGTTGGTTGATTAAGGCAGGCTTGTGAATGGCCACCATACAGTCTACCTGCACCATGCCAGATGGTAGATGTTTTTACTGACGGAAGTGCCTTTTTGCAGGATGTGGCTGAATTTACTATTTCGGCCAGTGCGGCGGTTTTGGTGCAAGGGGACAATGGGATTGTTCTCGATGCAGGCTTGGTACCGGGAGCTGATCACAGCTCATATAGGGGGAAGTGTATGCACTCCTTCTCACTCTTCAGAAAGTTTGGTCAGTACATGTGTACTTGGACTGCAGCTCGTCATTAACAGTTCCCAATTCAATGATCCTGGCAAAACAACAAGGCCTTGACTTCCAACCCTGCAAGCATTGGGATCTTTGGAATCCAATATGGTGCCATGTTTTACAAAGACCGGACAATTCCATTCAGGTCACGAAAGTCGATGCGCACACGGCTTGGAGATTACAGTGTGACCCGTATGCCCAATGGCTGGGGAAATGGAACGAACAGGTTGATTCGGAGGCCAAAGATGTGATTCGTGTTCAAAATAAAAGCTTGTTGACACAGCTTACACAACACTACAATGAGAGGGCAAGGAAGCAAGCCCTGCTTGGTGAATTTTTGACCTTTTGGGTTGACTCCAACGCAAGAGTCATGGGGTCTGCAGTCGTTGAGGCCAACAATGTGTCCTTGACTCCGGACTTCAAAGAGTTTCAACAAGAGGGCAATAGCACCATGCGGTTGCTGCAGTTGGATTTGAATCGAATTAGTGATTTTCCTTTCGGTGAGCGGTTTACTAGGTTGTTTTGGGATTGGTTCAAGCACATACCTTGGCTGGAAGCTAGTTGTGAGACCAGTTTGCTTGAGATCTACATTTCCTTTGCTCTGGAGACGGGTCACATGACTCCCATATACAACCGTTGTTTAAAGAAGAAGACACAGAATAGGCGCACGGCCTACACGATGCGTGATGAAGCGATTCGCGCAGATTTGGTTCGTTCTGATTTGAGCTCACAGCTCAGGATCTTCATAAAGTTCTTTAAGTGGCTGGGATCATTCTTCGAGTTTGATTCCTCTTCTTGTCATCGTGGCAAGCTGAAACGCTTGGGTTTTCACAACCCAACGATGCATTTGTTGAGAGCTGTGCAACTTCCGAATCATGTGAAGGTTGCTGACTCTTTGTGGCGTGATTTTCATGCGGGCCGCCGGTCCACTTTAAGCATGAAGGGTGTTTGGTGACGAGTTCTGTCGTGTATGGACCAGTATGCCCTCACGCCTCACGCTGGAGGTTGTCATGTCATCGACTGCATGAAACTGCGGCCAAAAACCCATTGGTTAGGGGTCTCCCTATTGAAATCCACACTCATATCCCTGTCGGCCGTTCTCTTGGCCTCACCGTCAATTCGAAAAAACGGATGGCGAGACCTCGCGTGGACAGACCTCGCGTGGCGAGGTACGTCCTTGCTACGTTCGTAGCTTCTTGTTGCTAGTAGCGATGGCCTCCAACCTACTTGCGATGGCCTCCACCTAATAGCGTCCTTGCTACTAGTGGCGATCGTCGATTAAAAGCGAGGTCTGGAGGTTTAACCCCTGAGGTCCGCACATAATCTGAGGTCCAACTGGACTGCCCGCCAACTCCTTGCAAGAGTTGAAGTCCCAAAGAAAGGGACTTGGAATGTCACGACATGTCACGACTATGATGACAGGTATGGAAAAGCCCTGCACATCTACCGCGCGAGCCGCTCCAGTTCCTTCTGACCAATTCCCTTTTCCAGAGGGAGAGAGTGTGACAAAACGCAGACCCGTTAGCAGGACCCAGACTCATCAGCAGATCCGACCCCGCTCCAAGGTTTCAAGGTCGTGACCTCTCTGACCGCTCTTCAGTAGAAAGCAACCTGTCCATCAACTCTAGACCCGCCCGATCTATCCCACCTGCCCAAGTTTGAAAAGAAGGCCTCTTCCTTTTGGGCCTTCCTCTCGAACATCGGCTTTTCATCCCGGTGCTCGATCATGGCATGCGGCATGCTTCCCGAATCCATCCGGTCCAGCAAGAATCGAACCTCCCATCCCTTCGTGATCACTTCATGGACCTCCCAGGTCGATTTCCGTCATGTCATCTGTGCGTCCCCCATCCTCCCACATCGCAGTTTGAAGAGCAGCTGTCCAAATCCACCAAACACCGACTCGGCCCAGGCCGACACCGGGCCGCCACCCACGGTGCTTTCGGTTTCCGGCGCCGGGGCTCCTGGACCAGAGGATGATGATCCTCTAAGAGTAGCTCGCAGACCTTGATGGGCGGAATGAGCGGAACAGACCGAGCGAAGGAAGAGACAGGAACAGACCGAGCGAGGGAGGCGACTTGCTGGGCGGGCCTCCCTGGTTCTTGCAGCTCTGTCTGGAGAGTGAGAGAGTGAGAGGTTTGTTCTTCCTAAAAGTGCTGCAGGTCGGTAGCAAAAGCAAGGTCGTAATACCAAACCCCAACGTCGTGGAACTTGCCAGTTCCGAGAGCTACCAACCCCACTGGATTCCGGGACGGAGTGTTTCATCGAGCGGAAAGCCCAAAAATTCAGGAGCGAAGCCAATTCGCTTCAAGCGAAGCCAGAGCGAAGCCAACGCAACGCCCAACGGAGGTTTTCCTGCTGAAGTCACATGCAGAACGAGGCACGCAACAAGTGCCTATATAGGGAATATGATATAAGCAATGCTTATACCAGCAGTCACAAGGCGGGGTGCGATCCATGGAGGTAGTCGGGGTGCCCAGAACATCCACTCACTGGATGGGACTAAAAACCACCCCTTTCTGACATTCTGGTAGTGCGAAGTGCGAAGAAGTGATTAGGCTGTCCGCTGCCGGGGGGCTCACCGTCTCACCCCCTGAGACTCACCCCCCCTGTTTTGATATAGAGTGTTTCATCCAGCATCTTTGAGTGCTCAACAGGTGAACCAGGCCATAAGCCAACTTCTAGCCTTCCCATGAAGATATATAAATACCCAATCTTAATGTTCAAACATTCAAAATTCAAACCTGGCTGCAACTGAGATGAAGTTTCAGCCAGGCCAACCAAACAGAATCCCAACATGAGGGAAGGAACAAAAAATAACACCTGGTTTCCATTGCGAACACCGGTCACCTCGACCAGCGCACGACCTCCCTGCCAGGCCTTCTCGGCATTCTTGTAGGTGTTCCGGGTCAAGGCCAATACTCTCAAGACCGCCAAGCCCGTTTCATGGCAGAAGACCTTACCCGGCACGGCCCGCACCAAATGTACAAGTGAGCTCCACAAACATGTGCAGAAAGCTTCTAATGTGGAGATGAAGATACACCAAATCATTGCGATCTGATTGAATCGACTTAGACCAATTAACGAAGCTCTCTTTGGATGAGGCTGCCAACCACCCTGTCATCCTTCATCCTCTCTCTTTATTAGGTCTTTCACTCTGTCCGGGGCCCCAACTTTGCTTTCACACATCGTCGCAAACCTCACCTGCGCGGGGTAGATCCGCGGGTTAGACCCGCAGGGTGCCGGCAAGAGCTTCGAGGATGTGAAAAAGGACCTTCGCAGGTTTATGTGATTTCCTTGGCATTTTTGGAGGAATTCTTTTGGGAGCTCTCCTTTGGTGTCTCCACCCATTTTGGGAGGGAGTTCTGCAAAGTCTTACCCCCCCCGATGAAACCCCCAAGACCTCAAAAAGTAAATTCAACATCCATGACAACCTCCAAAGGATTTTCAGCGGCCGCCTCGGTGAAAGACTGCCTCTCCCCGGGAAGTCTGGCAACGACCATTCTTAAGATGGATGACTTGGTTTTGTAGTGTAAGATCCTTAGTAAAAACAATGGTAGTTCGGTAAAGACCATTACTGTAAATCAATGGTGGCAAAGATGACTAAAGGTTTCAGGAAGTTCCCGAACTCTGGGGTCTCCCGAACTCTGTTTTAACAACGCTCCGTTCGTAGCGATGCCAGGAGCCCCATTCGTAGCGTTCTTACCTCCCATGGTCGCCGGACTCATCCAGACAGTGCTCCGTCGCTGGGAAACATGGATTCGACCATCGGGTCCCGACCAGGGCTGCTTGGGATGAACGAGTCAGAGTCGCGCAGGCAGCGCGAATTTTTGATGATTTCCATGTCTAAAAACCCACGGAGTCAACTGCAGTGACGGTTTGAGGACGTCAAAAGGAGTGTCTTGGTGTTGTTTTTGGAAGCCATTTTTCAGCAAACATCTTGGGTCACTGCACAAACCGCAGTCGCGCAGTAGGGTGCTCTTCTCTTGGGTGACCGAGAGCCGGTGGCTGTTGCCACCAAAATCAAGTAGGGTTGATATGAGGAGTGACCATGTGGTCTTTGAGAGTGCCAAACATGGCATGACTATCGTCCAAGTCTCGCTCGCCAAAAAACTTCAAAAACACCAAGAACACGCCACCTCGCCGTTTCAGGGCTGCCAACGACTCGTCACCTCGAAGTCAGGGAAGGACTTCTTGAAATTGGTGTAGAGGAAGTTGAAATAGAGCGTCCTATCGTCCGGTGCCAACGAAGGAGGCCGAGCCCGTCCGGGAGGAGGCCGGCAAGAGTCCCAAGGACAGGAGGGATCTTGGGCTGACCTACTAACTATGGAAGTGGGAAACATTGAAAGACCATTTTCCGATCACCGAACTGGTGCGTTTCACTCCATGTGTCAGACAGGTGCTGACCTCCTGAGTTTGGGTGTTTCTCCAACGCGTTTCACGCTGCCCATGTGAATCGCTACATGCATGAAGGCCCTGGAAGAGGGTCCGGTCGCCCAGGTAGCCCACCGCGTCGACGAAAAGCCGTTCGACGAAAACCCACGGTGGCGCTCCGATCATCGATCTTGGGATTGTCTGTGAGCTTCTGAATGAGATCATCCATCGCCTCGGAATCAGAAAGGCATTTTTGGGCCTCGGAACCCGGATGGGCGGGTTTTTTGGAAGCTGAAGAGTCCGAATCTTAGAAATAAAGATGCGAAAATAGAGACAGAGAGAGAGAGGGAGAGAGAGAGAGAGAGGGAGGGGGGAAGAAATACATCCGAATCTTAGAAGAATATAGAAAAAAGGCAGATACTGCGCCATGGACCTCGGAAAAATACTGCATTGTAGAGAGGATTGTAAAGATCTTGTAAACTATATAATATATACTCAGTGATGCTTACAGGTCAAGTGCATGACCCAGTCCCCGAACCACCCCGAGTGTAACCATCCGAACCTATCCCTGCTCCACTTGTCACATGCGACTCTCCTGACGCCTGACTCTACCTTTCCAAACAAAATGCGCTGGAATATCCTCACCATTCCAAACACGTCATGCCGGATCTCTTGTCCCTTGGCGTTTGCAAATCGTTTGGGGTGCAAACTGATCCTGGGCAGCCCGTGCCGCAGTGAAACCCATGTAGACAGGCTGAATGGCAATGGGGAAGATAAACTTTTCATTGCAACCCGCTCCTGTCATCGCTTTCTTCTATCAAAACATGGGATCGATCAAAACTTGAGAGAGGAGGGGGTGAACGAAAGGTAGAGGCAATCACAAGTAACCCTGGTAGAAGTCCATGACGGCGTGAACCGGCGCAGGGGGGATTTGATCCAGGGGGGCCCTCCCCAACGAACAGAATCATTTCTTACAGGACCAAATTCAATGCACAATCCCAACTTTTTCCAATACATTTTTGCTAAAGCAAGGAGAACTCAGGTAGGTAGCTCAAGCTACCTTTCGTGACATGTGTGGCGGATTCGGTAGGATGGGTCCTGGGGTTGAATTGATTACTGGGGTCTGTTGGGTGCCAATACCTGCTTGAGCTGCGAGAGGCACTGCAGGAAGACACTTCGTCAGGCTCTCACCTACTTCTCGCGCTCTCATGTCACTGCGTTAGCTGCTGTTATTCCGGTACTTTCTGGCTACATTGCTTTTCTTTGTCTTCTTCTGCTTCTCCTTCTCCTTTCTCTTCCTCTTCCTCCTCTTCCTCCTCCTCTTCTTCTTTACTGCTTCTACTTCTACTTCTGCTTCTGCTGCTTGTTCTTCTCCTTCTTCCTCTCTCAGAATCCCGTTTACTGTAAACTCTTGGCCAAAAGCCAGGACATCGCCATCCCTGGCCCAGGCGAATCTCTTGCAAATCTCAGACCCTCAACCTTGGGTGCTCAAAAGGTCTTCCTAGGACTCTATCTCACTCCAAGAAAAACTGCTCGAAGTTTGAACTGCCTCACTCCATCTCTTTTTGCTGGCTTCGGACTTGCATTTTGGCAAAGAACGCGTCCTGCAATGTCGAAGATCGAGTGGTAGAAGTAGTAGTGGAGGGTACCTCAAATCCGACTGTCCATGCGATCGTCTTCACCGGGGTAATATAGAAGACTTGGTGATTCTGAGCTACAGGGACTTCATCACCGGCTTCATGTATTCCTTCGATGTGGAGTTGGCGTTGGCGGCGTGACGCAGAGCATTTGAAATCTTGCTCAAGTCATGGACCCTGCAAGACACGCCAACACATGAGTTTGTCTATGGACATTCAGGAACCCATCACCTTCCATCCGCCGAAAACACCAGCTGACCTCCCAAAACGAACGAACATTCTTACCCCCACATCCAGGATGCACCCAGAACCGAAGACACCCTCGGCCTGTGACTACGTCGTCCGAACAAATCCATCTGTTGGACTCCCTCGGCCTGTTGAACACCGTTGGGATCCCTTTTTTCATCCAAAAAAGCGGGGGCACCGTTGATGAGGTGCTTCCGGTCCAACTCCAAAAGACCCTTGAAGTTGATGCAAGCGATCTCTCCTGCGGCTTCGACCCGATGTTCGGGGCGACCCCGACAGGGACGTCTCGTCGGGCGGCTCGAGAGATCCCTCCCGAGGCACCAGTAGAGGTCAGCTCATCCGTGTCATCTGTTTTCGACTGTTCAGCAGGAATCCCATGCTTCAACACCCACCATGCTAGTGGAGGCCGGCGATGAGCCCTTTGAGAGGTCAGCGATGAGCACAGCGAAGCACTCTGTGAGGATCACGGTTCATGGAGCTCATGAAGCCCTTTTAATTCATGTCAAGATGAGACCGAAGTTTTTGATACTCTGCAAGAACAACTCAACTGTTTGGGACACCTCGAAAATATACGAAGAAAAGTAACTAATCAGTCCATGCAACAGCAGCTATAGTCTGATTGATGGTCGCCGCTGCATGGGTTGCAGTCAATTTGGGTGCGTATTAAATATGATATGGAGATCTTCCATTTCGACCCCTTGGAAGAAGAGAAATAGACCAGTCTATTGGTTGGAGGCTTCCGTATTAAAATACATACCTACTTAGATCTATTTAGAGCCAACCGTATGGATACGGATTTGACCTCACCCGACGGCCACCCCCCCACACGAAGACCCAATTTGCTCCTTGTCCAAGCTGCGGCAATTGAAAGTTGGTGCCAAAGCCTGTCGTGTTGGAGGAATAAAGACCTTCCCGCATTGGATGAATTCTAAAACGCTTCATCCACAACAAATCAGTGGTCGGCTGACTGAACCTCTGCTCCCTGGCAACACACCACCGATCCGCAAAAACCATGGTCCGCTGTCCATTTATGGCACCAGGGTCGACGACCGGCACGACCTACCTAGTGTCGGTCGGTCGACCTCGCAGGCGGCGCATGGTGGTCGGGTGAACCTGGTGGGTCACGACCCACCTGCCGAGCTTCGCATCCCACCTGCCAGGATGGACTCCTGCCGAGCCGGTGAGAGCTTCGCCACCTGGGCGAACACGTGGCGTAATCGGCCAGGCCGGCCGAAGTCGACAAGGTGAAGTGCTGGTGAGATGAAACCTATATATGAAAAAGAAACAAAATCTGGAATTTTGAGCGAATCGGGTTTTTGGTGGGTGGAACCCCTCTTGGTTGGGGTCTGTCTGGACATCTGTTCTGAGCTTTGATTTGTTGCTTCACCTAACAATCGATGGAGGTGTTCTTCCCTTCGCTCCACTAGTGGATGAATGATTGGTGATGCTTTCTACTTAGGATGCTGGTAGAGACCACAGTAGTTACTGGGGCCTCTGATGCTATAGTGTTTGAATGGAGAATGTTGGAAACATGTTTTTAGCCGCTGGGGGGGTAGCTCAAGAGAACAGGCTCGGCGATCAAAGGTGAGAGCCTTAACAAAAAGGGTTGGTTCGTGTTTGTGGGCAAAGTGTTCCCTTTCACTAGTGTCCAAGTGTCCTATATTTGACACAGATTTGAGGCGCGAGCAGTCTAGACCCTGCAACAAACGTCATTTTGATGATCTCCCTCGGCAGACTAAGGTCTAGCGGGTCAGAGTTGATCAACGAGGACACTGTCCACAAGAGGTCCTTGAGGTGTCCAAAACGGTGTTCTTGGTCTTGTTTGCCGTTGTATATCAATGCAAGGCGTCCTGTTCTTCCACCATCAATAGGAGCAATCGCCGAGACACCGTTGGCAGCAGCTTCCTGACCAGACATTCACCAACAAGCAACAAGATTGAAACATAGGATCTACTAGTAAGATCTATAATATCCCCTTTGGATCACATACAAATACCTGAAAGGCAGTAGAATTAAAAAAACATCATGACAAGAAAGATTCGGCTCTTCTTTTGGTCTAGAGCCAATGTTCAGGATCCACCATTCTGAGCGAGTTTTTCAGCTCCGTCCAACTCTGCCTGGTGAAAAAATGATTAAAAATACTATCCAACAAACCAGTCTCTATCAAACTCCAGTCTCTCGCATGTCACATAGGAATCATACGAAGATCCTCTTCCGCCGTACATGGAACTCGCTTGACTTCCTCCCTCCGCTCACCTCGCAGCTGCTGAAACGCTCCACCCCGCCGCGCAGCCGCTCCCGGGTGGTTTTCCCCTGACCTCTTGAGCTCCGGATCCGACAAAGCACACGCCAGCGCCCGGTCGTGATCATCGGAACCTGAGAAAAATCAATTCTTTTCTGCGCCCAAAGAAGCAAGCAGGAGGTTTCCGTGAGAGGTGTTTGCATAGGGCTTTGGGGTGGCGTTGATCGTTGCTTTATGGGGCAGCAGGAGATCTTTAGTGAGATATCTCACGAGAAGAGGATTAGAGCTTGACAAGCACAGGCGAGTGTTGCTCCAGAACCAAGTACGAAATACCGCACGGACTCTTAAGATCGTCCTTGAAACGGAAAAACCTGCAGCACCAGAGTTCCACCCAGAGGTCCGGACCGAGACTCGCTTGGACCGAGCAAACCGAGGAGGGCTCCTTTGGCAGAGCCTGCCTTGAGGGACTTTGGCAGAGCAGTAGATGGCACGTGGCACGGGACTGTTTACTCTGGGGCACACAGCAATCAGGAGAACAAATTGAGATATCCGACAAGGGTTTGGCCATGTCTTGCCAGCCGTCAACATCTGGCAGCGGCCCTTTGCAGCAGCACTCTGCAGCACAAGCAACCAGCCTTCAAAAGTGCACACAGCTATCAACTATCAACATATCGCAGCAGCGCCTTGCAGCGGCACCTGCCAGGCTCCAAAGCGCACACTGCCATGGACATCTGGCAGCAACAAGACAGCTCGCAGCTGCACCAGCATCCCTCGGAAGCACACACGGCCAAACACATCTGACAGCAGCACACTGCAGGCAGCACCTGTCTGCGCAGGCACCTCTTCCTATATTTGAAGCAAGAAGGCTCTCGCTGGGAATAAAATCAATTGTCCATTGCCTGATGGGTTATATGTTATATCTGCCATAGCTTGGATTGATGCTGCTTCGGGTGCTGCAAGTGCTACATATGTGCAGTGGCTTCACGTGCATCAAGAACAAGAATCCATTCTTTTGTGAGATGGTCGTGACTACGTCAATAGTGACTACGACTTGTAAGAATGGTAGAGGAGTTCAGTGTGATCAATGGTACCCGATCCAGCTTTTCCAGGAAAACAGGCGACACAGCTCGGGGACCAGACGCATGTCAAAGGGCAAAGAGTCGTTCACCACCTGCTGTGGATGTTGGGAGAGCACAAGAATTCAACCTGAAAAGACCCCGGGTAGGCCACATCAGTCTGTGCAGATGTAATGTCATAAAGCGAGGTGATTGTTTCAGAGCTCTCCAATAAAGCTCAAGCATCTTCAGACCCTTGCACATGTGGCCCCGGGTCAACACCTCACCCTATACAAATCATGGTTTTGGTTGACATCCCATATAGAGGAAACATCTTCATTGGACCCGGGGTCAACCAGGGTCACACGGTTTTGACCCGCCATGTGAAGGGATCTCAGGCGCATTCCCATGCCAGCCCCAGATCCGCTTCTGGGAGGAGGGGGGCGGGTGCCTCCTCTGCTCAAAGGAACAAGGGAATGTCAAAGTGGTTCCTATCTTGATAAGTTGTGGCATAGGAGTAGAAGTGTGTAAATGTAAAAGCTTGATCAAATAAAGCCCCTCCAGACATGGATGGTTTTACACCACTTCACATGCTGGGAGGGTTGTTCATCAAGAGTCGACATGCTTCGAAAACCTGGAGAGGGTTTGCTGCTCTCAGAAGCCAACCACCATTTTGCTTGAACCCAGCGAGCCTCCAAGATGCTAACCAGTTTGAAGCTATCGCCGCTGTTAGCGACCCCAGAGGAAATCACGATTTTTGGTGGGGTCGGGTTGGGGTGGGGTGGGGCATATTAACGTTCGCTTGCACTTGCGTGACGAATTTGATGCTTCGTGGTTGATGATGTGGGGTGGGGTGGGGCATATTAACGTTCGCTTGCACTTACGTCACGAAGTTGATGCTTCGTGTTTGATGTGGGGTGGGGTGGAGTGGGGTGGGGCATGTTAACGCGTCAACCAATATGTCGGCAGTTTTCAGTTTCGGTGGAACAACAGAGGAAATTTGCTTGAGGCGTTGGCCCGAACGTGGCCGCAAGTGTAAAGAACATACACCTGCAAAACGCGTGTGCGCCAAAAATGAGTGCACTTTCGGCTCTTCCCCATTCTAAATTCCGCGTTACAAGTGCCGTCTCTTCTAAAAAACGGGATGAAAGCACACATGATCCAACCTCTCCAAAATGAAAAAATGAAAAAATTGGAGATTTTGAGCATTGTCCACTTCGGCGCTGTGCGAATTGCACAGGGTCACTATTGGGTGAAGTATCCAAAAATGTATTTACCGCATCAAAAAATACTATTCGAGGGGATCAATGAAAAATTAACTACTTAATCAAAAAAGACTATTCTGCCACGAGCTCTCTGGGATAGAGCGGGTTTCTTATTAGTACCTAGCTAATTACAGCGATGTCGTGTCCTTAGCAGAGACACAGGTGTCGTAGCTGGCCCAATACATTAGAATAGTGCAGGTTTCATATCAGTTGCTAGTTGATTAGACTAATTCGGGAGCTGTCGTAGCTGGCAAAATACATTGGAATAGTGTAGGTGTGAGAGAAATTCCTACCTATCACAATAGTTTGGTGCAGTTAGCAGAGAAACAGCAAAGAGAAAGAGAACTAGCACAGGAGGCGTATTTGGTTGGTTAGAAGTTTTTGCACCGGGGAGTTCACCTTAAAATATTGATTTCGTGGCAGGCGCGGGTGTCGGAGATGAAGTGCAGATTTCGTGGCGCGGGAGGGGTTGGGGGGGCGCAGCGCCCCCCCCAGCAGCACACCAGATCCAAAGGTGAGCAGCTCGTGCTTGCTTTCTTGCTTGCTTTCTTGTTTGGTTTCTTCTCTGCAAAGCAAACAAATGGAAAAAGCAAAAGCAAAAAGAGAAAGGAGAACAGCTGCCAAAGCAGAAAAGCAACAAAAGCAAAGAGCAGAAAGACAAAAACACGAAAAGTAGAAAAGCAACAAAAGGAAAACAGCAGAAGCAGAAAAGCAGCAAAAGCAAAAAAAAACGCAGAAGCAGAAAAGCGACAAAAGCAAAAACACTGCAAAATCAGAGTCAAAAAAAAATACAAAAACAATCCCGAAACAAAACGCACCTCCATTAACATGGTTGATGGTTCTTTTTGTTTATTTTTGTTTAATTCTATTCTTCATTTTCCTTGTGGTCCTTCCTTTGTTACGTTGTTTCTTCGGCTGCCTTGCTTCCATCCTTCCTGCCTTCCTCACTTCCTACCTTGATCCCTTCTTTCCTTCCTTCCCTTCCCTTCGACCAGGGGACCAGGGACCAAGGGGACCAAGGGGACCAAGGGACCAAGGAGACCAGGGGACCAGGACGACCATGTGGACCAGGAGCAAGCATACAAGAGACGGGAAAGGAAAATAATTAGTCTTTTGATTAGATAAATAATCTTTTTTTGATTACGTAATTAAATTTGTTTGATGCAGTAATTAATTGCTTTTTGATACACATGCCGTCACTATTAGCGGCGGTACCCAGTTTTTGCCCAGTCAGACCCAAAGGATTGGCCGTATGTGTCCGTATTTGCACCGAAAAGTTTGCAAGATCATTTATGTTGACTCACCCCCCCATGTTGGATTGAAAACCTCTTCCTGTGGGGTGGATTAATTATTTGATCAAGAGTCTACATAACCATATTAAACCGGCACCACCTTTGGGGCCAAAACATCTTCGGAACCCTGCGGGTCAAAACAAAAAAAAAGACGCCCTTGTGTCTCTGGTGGAGGCGACCGAGCGACGCCATGAACCCGCCTTGCGGAAGCCGTCGCTCTTCCCGACGTCATGCACCACTAAGAAGACCTGGGTGGAGCAAAGGGCGGAGCGTGGCCAGTCGCCGTGGTGGGAGCGATACTTGGGATTAAAAAAACATGAAGTCATAGGTGGTCTCCCTCAGCGATCTCCCTCGATCAAGTCTGATGAAGCGTCATTGAAACACAGTTTTCGACCGCAAACCTTCAGTTTTCGTGAGTCTCCTTCGAACAGCGGTCGATGCTTCTTTTAGTCGCTCTCTTCTTTCAAAGGAAAGAACAGAGGATCGCTGAAGCAAAAGGTCTCAAGTGGACAAGGGCTATTACTTTCCTCTAGTGACTCTAGTGGTCTCGTTGTATCCACAATTTATTGAAGAATGAATAGGGACGTTCACGCTACAGCTGTGGCAAAAGGTTCACAGAACGGGGCAAAAGGTCCATGTGAGATGTTGCTCGAAGAAATGAAAAACCGTGTTTTTCTGGGCCAAAAGTGTCCACTCGCTCTTTCATCTGGAGCCAATCAAAATCCAGACTTCCTCATTTCCCTTTCGAGTGGCAGAGCCCAACAGCCCCCTCAAAGCCCTCCCCGCAACTTTGGCTCGCCACGAGCATACTCCACCAATCATCTTCGCTCGTCATAAACATCGCAAATTTCCTCCGCACGGCAGCACGGCAGCTTTTCTAAAGCCCTCCACTTCGGACATGCATACCATTAACATGCCCTAGGGAAGCACCCAAAAAGATACCATCTCAGTGTGCATGGCAAATCATTTCTTCGACGGGGATTTTCCAAACCTCGTCATGCTGGAGACGACGCGTCCCGTGCGTGTTCGAGTCCAACAAACGTCCAATACGTCCAGATCGAAGCATTCGACGTCGGTCGGTTGACCGATTTGGTCGAACGCCATGGATGACCTGTTCATCCACTCAGCGACTCTTTTCGGGCGCCATTGAAGAAAAAGGATTCGTCTTCGAAAAAAGAAACACGAAAACCGCCTCCTCGCGCTCGCGCCGCGGGGACCGTGAAACACGCACCGCACCGCACAAACCGCTCTCCTGCAGAATTCGTTGTAGTCCTCCTTCTTGTTGCCGAGGTTAATAAACTTCCCCGGCACCTTGGGCGTGGAGGTGCGAGTCTAGTGGCGAGGACTCCTACTCGCCGGCTCTTTTCCGGAAAAACAACCAGCTCATTCGTTGAAACGAAGAAGTGGCGGAAATCCTGTGCAAATCCTGTACCACTTGAAGAATCTCGTGAGACACACCGAAGCTTTTGGCTGGGATTGATGAGAGTGCGACCTGTCTCGTGTTGACCTTCCCATCCTGTCTCTAGTCGGAGTTGTCCCAGAAGCATTGCTCCACATGGATGAGAAATTCACATCCTAGCTCGTCCTATCACGCCCCTGATCGATCGGAACGTGGGGAACCCCCCCGCTGCCACTCCCTGCCCACCCGTCGGATAGAATCCATTTGGATGTAGTGTCATCCCCTGACACAAATGGAATATTGAATGTGTCAAACAACCAAAAATGCTCACATCTTGGAAGTGTTCCAGCATGTTTGTCCACATCTATCTGAAGATATCAGATATATAAAGAATGCGTGTGTCCTCCAGTTTTTCCTGCACGTTTCACTGCTCAGTGCATCTCTGTGATCAGCCCACGAAAACCGTCTGGTTCCTCACAGGATAACCCTTCCATCCGGATATTTGTCGGACATGTCTCCAGCCAACAGAAGGAAATGAACATCAAAACATCAACCACAAAAACCAGCACAACACCTGTGGGTAAATTGTGATTACGGTATATAATGACAACGCTTTCCGACCCTTCCAAAATCAAAAGAAAAGAACATGCAAAAAAGCTCTTCGAGCTCTTCTCACTCCAAAGCCAAGGCAAACGCGAGAAAAGGCGCGTTTGAAGGACAGACTGACACCTTCCACCCCGCCTTGTCCATGCTCATGGGCCCGCGGTTCCCGGCGGAGACACATTCCAGGCCAAACTCTTCCTCGTCGCCAGAGGCGAACGGGAGAGGGGAAAGGCCAGAGCGCCGCTCACGTGACCATTCGTTTGGAAAAGAACCGTGATCCAGGTGCCACAAGGTGACCCAGGTGCGCGAGGAGAGGCCGAACTGGACAAACTTCGCGCCGGGTCTGCTAAGAGCTAAGAATTGTTCATCGATCATCAATCCTAGAAGTCCAAAGACAAATTTTTGGCACCACCGAAAAAAGAAATGGATATTCCTGCACAGGTCACCGAAAATCATCAGAACCACCACTATGTGGTCTTGGACTCGCAGGGTCGGTGGGTTCCTCAGGCTCTATCTGCATTGATAGTCTGACTGGAGCTTAGTAGGAAACGAGGAAGTGCTCCCCCGACAATAAATACGCTTGGAATCTCTTTGATTCATTTCCTCAGTCCATCCATCATCCCACTTGTTGGTGGCGAACTAGAATCCAAGCGCCGTCCAGATCGAAACGAAGATGAATCTTGTCCTCTGTAAACCCTTTGATAGCCCGGATGACAAAAACGCTTTCTCCCAACTCTAGACAGTCCCCATTTCGTCCCTGGTGATCTCTTCCGGTGGTATTACGGGGGCTCCAAACAATCCCACCCGCGTCTCCACACGTCTCCAGGGTCCACGGTCGTCTCCTCCCACGTCTCGGTCCACATCAACCCGAACCGCGCGGTCTCCTGCATCGCCGAGGAGTAGCAGGAGAGCAGGGCAATGATCGCTCCCACGGTGCCTCGCCGCGCCCGCACGGCCAAGGCGCGGCTCGCAGGACGCGCGGCCGCGACGACGCGCGGCCGGCGCTGACCGCTGCCGTGGCCAGCGAAGCCAGCGAGCGAGCGAGCGAGCGAGCGGTCAGAGGCCCAAGTTGACGAGAACACGGCAGTCGCCTTGCGGTTTGGCGTAGATGCACCCTGTCTGACCCCTTCGAAACACAGGTACAGGGCGAGCATTTCGGAACCATTCCTGAGAATTCAAGCTAATCCTTTGAAGCCACTGTTCTCAACAAAGCTGATAGAAGATCTGACAAAAGAAGTACAAGTTTGCGAACAATGCAAAGTGCTGGTGGACCCTTCTTGTCCTCCCTGCGACGCTCTGCCCACCGTGCCCCCCACATCCCCGTCCCGCACATCCCGGTCCTCCGCGTCTGACCCTCCACCAATCCGTTTTTTCACCAAGGTGCGGTAGTACTCAGTTGGACTATCTGCAATTTCCTGCGGTAGCTCTCGTATCGTCGCGACCGTCGGGTCCAGCGGGCGTGCTGCTGCGCGTGAGAATCTGTTCACTGGTCTCGACTCAGGTGACGCGTTTGTGTTCAAGGTTTGGGTCATTTGTGTGCGGCTACCACTGGCGCCATGCACTTGCCAAGACTGAGTTGATTAATGTTGATGGTGCGCTCGTGGCCTTTTACCATCCAAATAGAGAGGGACGCTATGGGGGTGTGTTTTTTCTTTGGTTGCGTGGTTTTCTCAGTGGTTTTTGATGGGTTTTGCGTGGTTTTCTTTGTGTGACTGACTGAGGCCAACTTATCTCTTCTGTGTTCATTTCTGCCTGGCAGTGAGAGTACCGACAAAGATGCCAGGTCTTACAACAAATCTGGCATAAATGAAGAAAGGTTGAATTCTGATACTGTAATTCCCAGCTGCTATGCCTTGATTATCCAAGGAGATACCTTTCGCAAACTGACATAGTAGACCTAGAGACGTACTTCTCGATCATCTCCTCAGCTAAGTATATATGGGCTACTTAGCCAAAGGGCTACTTAGTTAAAGTAGGGGCTTAGCTAAGGCATATGAAGATATATCCGAACACCTTCAACATGCAAGGTACTAAAACAGTTTTTGAAAAAACGAATAAATGGAAAACATACACCGGTATGGTATAACCTCCACACACACCGACTCGACTCCTACACGAACTCACCCACGTCCTCCACACCAGGACTCGTCTGGATCCGCCCTTGCTTGTAAATGGCCAGCTCTGGAAAGGTGTCGTCCAGCTCCTTCAAGAAGTCCTCCGACGGAAAAATCTGGAACCATTGGACGTCTTTGGTGGGTCCTGTTCGGGAAGTCCTTCGTTTTCGTGTGATTCTGGGTAGGGAGAAATCTGGTGAGAAAGGGGTTGATGCGAAGAGGAAAGTGAGGCAGTTCAAAAAGAATGTCACAGAGATCATTTTTATCTCTATCAGACTCTATCAGCAGGGGGTATCAACAAGCCAGTCCCACCCAATGGCTTACTGTACAGTCTAGACCAAGGGCCCCAAAATCCATCCCCATCTCTTCGGCCCCCATCCCACCGCTCCCCACCGCTCACCCACCCCCCTTTGGCTCGGTCGCGCCTTGTTGGCGACGGCGTCGGGCGATTTCACCACACCGCCGGCGGCCTTCAACAGCTCCACCAGCGGCTTCACCTCCGCTCGGCGCGACGACCGCGGACCGGTGAGCGGGTCCGACCCGACCGACCCGAACGAACGGGGCATGGCGCAATCTTGGTCGCGCACCGTGCGACGAAAAATATATATATCATAGCGGCCATAGCGGTTCCGGAGGGGGTGGGACAAATCCGAGTTGCGGAACTCCTAGTTCACTGCGAACAACTCCAGTAAGTTCCTGAAGGTGACGTGGGGCCCAAAGGTGGCGACGAGTTGCATCTTTGCTGTTCGTCGCCCAAGGGGGAGGAATGACTTTGAGTGATTTAAGCTGTGACATTCTTTATTGGTTTCTCCATGTTCCTTCTTGGGTTCCTGAGTGTTTCATCAATTGGAGGGCTGGAGGTGGTCAATGGTTCATGAGACTGGTGTAGGTGGCTGATTCCCACTGTCTAAAGCCTTCTCGGCAGTCGGTTCTTGGTGGTCGGGAACAGATATGGGGACTCTCCAAAGCATCGCCGTTCGAAACCCTTGAATTACAATTCGGGTGACATTATTCCAATTTTGCTAGTCCCCTGCAGATCAGCTTTTAGGCCTAGCTCAAAGCTGGGAAGATGGATGTGAACGGCAGTTGCGCATTGTTTCCACCCAGCACCGCAGTCCGAAGCATGTCAGCTGGACATGTCCAAAGCGGGCTATCGTGCAAGGCAGACATCGTGCTGCTTCGATGGGGAAGGGTCGTTCAACTTGGAGCCCAACGGTCGTCCACCATGTACCACACCAGGTAGGTCGTGCCCAAGGTGGTTTTGACCCACAGCCAGATGATGATGAAAGTACTCCCCAATGACCACGGTTCGCTCCTATTAAAAGAACATCAAATCGCTCCACTCTCGAGCCCCCCTAGTGTATTGAAGAGAGGCAGGTAGACCCGGGTTTTGCGTGGGTTGAGCAGGCTGCTCCTGCGTCGAGTTCATCGACCTTTCGTCCATCGAGGAGCAAACGAAACCCCATCAACCCACAGCACCACAGCGGTCTGCTTTGGGGAAACCAACATCCCAAACACGGCACCACACGAAAAAGACGCGGATCGCGGTACATGAATTTGGGGTCGCGAGTGGTGCACCGCACACGAATTTGTGGGCGCGTTTTGAGGCTTGGAGGGTAGGTAGAAAGCAAGACAGGTCGCACCAAAGCTCTGAAGGCACTTTCAGAGGCCAATGAAGCCAAACTTATTGCGGCCTCTTGAACTCTTGAACGAAGTACGGCTAAACTGTTGAAGCACCAGGTCCAGTCGCCCGCGACTCTGAGCTCTGCCAAAAAGAAACCAAGGACTAAGGAACCCAGAATGGGTTTAAGGGAAGATCGGACCCGACACCGCACCCACCCGACGTACTGTCCGGTTTTACGCGTTCCCTCTGGACGTGGCCCGGACCCAAAACGCCACGCGCCGTTGAGCGATCGACCCCCACACCTTCTTTCCGGGTTCTACAGGAGCATTGCCTCGATTTGGCAAGAGGAGGAGAGGCTATTCGTACATCCCATGTGATCCCAAATTCGTTGATCCTCTGAAGCTCTTGGGATGTGAACGACATACTTCTCCACGACAATCCTACTTGTTTGGGACAATCTTGCTAGTCCTGGCACATTGCTCCTCTTTTCTAGCATACAAACTGTTGGTATACTTAGCTTCTTGGTTCCTTTTCTGCTGTGGCTTCTGGTTACAACCTGAACTTGGAGGGTCTCCATCTTTGGAAACAACTGACAATCGTCTGGAAACTTCTCGTCGTTCACAGGTGGTGTTGAAAAAACCGTGTGCCGCAACCCGTGTTCAAGGGACGGCATATGAAGAAAATAGTAGTTATTAGTAGCGATGGCCTCCAACCTACTTGCGATGGCCTCCACCTAGTAGCGTCCTTAGCAAACATGGTCGTATGCAATGTCACCCCTAATACCAAGCAACTGAAGGACATGCCGCACAGGTAACTCTGCATGTTTCGGTGAAGCATGGATGGATCGAAAAACCTATGACGGTAGCCTCGCATGTTTGCCGTCGTCTGTATCTATATATATATATATATATATACTACAGGTCAGTTTGACCTCATGAAATACTGGAGCTGGTCATACAAAAACATGACTTAAGGAGAAAAAAGACCAGGCTTTACGGGATCTTTGGACTAGTAGGATATATAAATATAGATTGGGTCTATCCTTATCCGATTGGCAGTAACAGTGGATGATGATGGTGAGGTTCCAGGCCATATATCGTGATTTGCTTGTTTACTGACTGTCACAGGGTTATAGGACAGACCCAAAGTAGATCAATTCGCCTTGTGTGGCCAAATCCGGAGCGTCGTCACGGAACTCCGATGGGAGATGGTCTGACTCTGAGTGACGAACAAAACACCCAGACACCAAGGGGAACCATCAATACCTTGGTGAGACCGACTCCTTTTTCTCTGGTTTGTTCATTGGAGTACTTCCTGCTCCTCTCATTGAACCGGGTTGGGCCCACTTGGGCCCTCGCACCGCGAAGGAACGGAAGGAAACAGAAGGGGAATCCGTGTCCCACGAGACCAATCTTGGCCCTAGGGATTCCCGGTACTTGTTTCATCTAAAAAAAAATGTTATATATATATATACCCTCATCGACTATCAGCTCACGTCGTCAGCACCAGTGAGCTCCTCAAAGAATTCCTCATAAATTAAAAGAACCTTGTGCGAGATGCACCAAAACCCGTGCGCAAATCAATATAATGACCTGGTCCATGTCGCATATCTTGTCTAGCTGGTGCACCGGTGCACTGCACCAAAACAGCAAAACCCTCCAGCCATGCACCAAACTCCTGGGCTCGCCCACTGCATGAAGCATTGCCCATGGCCTGAGCACCACGGGACCGCTCCGAGCCGCCAAAGCGCCGCGGCTCCCCAAGCGCCGCGGCTCGAACGCGCGACCGCAACGAGCTTTGGGGCTGAGGACCCGGCGTCCCAATCTTTCACGTAACTAGGGTAAGCCGTTAGTCATTCCCAAATAGGGCTGAAATATCAAAAGCCCATCCAAACACCAGATTGGGTGGTTGCGTCTTGGGCATGCCCACCTCGAGAACCAATGAACCCCGTCGGTTCAGTGGCGTTCGATGGATTCTCTGCCACGAAGGAAGCTGCCAGACGTGTTGGTTTCTGAATACACCCTGGTCGCAACTAACATGGAAGCTGGTCATGTTGGATGGTTGAGCGATTAAATTAGCACCAAAGCCAACTCTAAGTCCCACTACGGTATCGCTTTGTACATATACGATTTTTAAACAAGTGAACAGGTATTTCCGACTACCTCCGCCAAGGTTTTTGCCAGCCCGCCTGCTTTTAAAACACACGGAATGAATATACGATATAAATATACGGTCAGCTTATATACATATGTGCGGCGGCATATGTTTGGTACTGGCTGAGCTCAAACACACTATCTATTATGTGGGGTGTTGGTGGTGCTCTTGGTGGTCTTGGGGGTCCCGGTGGCCTTGGTGGTCTTGGTGGTCTCCGTGGTCTAGGTGGTCTTGGCAGTCTTGGTGGTCGCGGTGGTCTTGGGTCCGGCGGTCTGGGCGGTCTTGGTGGTCTAGGTGGTCCTGGTGGTCTTGGTGGGTCCAAGTGGTCTTGGTGGTCCATGCGGCCCTGGTGGCTTTGATTTGGTGTTGTGGCACCTCCCCATACAGCCTGCAGCCCTGAAAGTACTAAGAGTCCTTGATGAGTTCTACTTCCTGTGAGAGGGTTTGAAAAGCTAGATCGACCTAGTTGCTGGGCAGAAAGCAAAGTGATTTCTCTACGTAGGTGCCAAAAACTGCATCGTTACAACATGGCCCCTCTGTAAGAGCCTCAAGCTCTCCCTTTTTGTAGAGGAAATGTCAACAGGGATCCGTCTACGTTTTAAAGATACGGGGCCCGGCCAGACACTTTACCCAAACCCATCAAGAATGTCAGGCCCAAAGAGACATATCTGGTTCTCAACCTCACGTCTTTAGTCCGAACTTCTGCGAAAGACCAACTCAAAAGGAAACCTGTGAATTCGATGTCGTGCGAAGGATCTAGATCTCAATCTCATCGCATGCCAAAACATCTGCCCGATCGAGTGGACATGAAATTCCCGATGATGGACATCTGGGTCGAGTCTACTTGTCGGATAAAACGACTGTCGTGGATAGAGAAACCAAAACAACTATAGAGACAAACAGCATTTGTGGAATAGTAAGAGGCATGGATCAACTCTTGGTTTTGAACTTTGATACTCCAAGACCTGATACGCCGCTTGAAGCACCCCAATCTCGGCTCCCGCACAGAGGTGTCCCTTGGTGGACCTCAGAACGCTGAGCTCTGCGACCAAGTCGTCTTCGGGAATTTGCGGCAGTGTTTCGGGGCACCAGGCCGCCCACGAAAAGGAAAAGTTCTTTCTTTCGGCCAAAGCCTTGGAACTCGCATCGTTGTCGTTCTTTCTTTCGGCCAAAGCCTTGGAACTCGCATCGTTGTCGTCCCCTATCACACAGAAGCATCAAGCCCTGCGGAAAAAGTTGAAGAATCCAAGCCCCGCCGGAACGTGCGAATTCCGTCCGACCCTGGTGGAACTCACCAACTGAATCACCAAGCAAGTCCCCTCCGTTTGTGCCCCTAGCTGAGGAGCAGGCAGCCCCAGTACTGGAAGGAGAATCTAAATCAAAACCATGGCAATACTGCTCATACAGCAAAGCTTCGAGCCATGTGCGTGCGATCAAAGTTGTAGGTCAACGAAAAGTGGAGGCGCTTAGCTCCTCTAATTGCAGCCACATACTCCCAATGCCATCTTTGTTCAACAAGCTGCAATGGTCAAGGGGTGTGAGGTTTAAGGTGAGCCGCCCACCAATAGTCCATGTCAATTTCAATTCATTCTGGGCAGAAAATGGTGGACCCGGCTTCATATGTTATTATGTTGTAGCAACCCGGAAGTCCACACTGTTTTGTCTGCCCACGAAATGATTCAATCGATTGTCCAATGAGAGAACCTAGCCCAGAAGCTCCTCCCACCTGAGTGTGCAACATGGATCCTGGATTTGGGGGGTCCCATGCATCTTCCCATCCTATTGGCCACCACAAAGCACGCGCCGGGACAGCCAGATGCTTCACCCCGCAAAGCTAGCTTACAAGCTGGTCACTCAGAAGTCACTCGCTCCTTGTGATCTTTGCATTCTGTCGCTGCTGTTTTTTTCAGAAATCTACATTCTGAGTCGTCAAAACAACAACAGCTCCGTCAATACACACTGCTCGAAGCCTTCCCAGCAAGAGATAAATGTTCAACTTCAACTTCACTGGGCGACGTGTCCCATCCACCCACGGCGCCCACAGTCGCCTCCAGAACATCTGTCGCCACGTGACCATCAAGGCAGTGATCGGTGCTTTTTAAGGTCCGCAGCCCAGGTTGTCTAAGGGATTGTCAACGTGCATCTTCGAAAGAAAACTGAATGCCTTGGTGAATTAACCGATCTCTGGATCTTTACATCTGTGTTGCCACCCATCTAGCACTTAGGATTTCACTTCCGATGTTGGATCTTTCGCTTTTAGGACCTTTCGATATCGATGGCGGTGGTCAAAAAGAACGAACCGGATCGATGAAACGATGTTTGGAACACAGCTCCGCTTGAGGACAAGCTTGAGGACTTGCCGCTCCGAACTTGAAGACTAGATTTGTTCAAAATGAAGGAGAAAAATGCAAAATAAGTGCCAGGGCCCCCTAAGGGGTGTCTATTTGTAGCCCCTTAGAGGCGATTCGGGGCCATGAACCACTCCTTGTGGGTCCTGGTGTTCATTGGTTGTCTTTGTCTTTTTGTTCGTACTTTGTTTTCTTGCAAAGCGGAGGGTCTCCGGTCCGCTTTTTGGGTCCGAGCTCCGGGAGGACTCGTGGACGGGAGGACTCGGTGACGGGACAGGACTCGCGGTCCGTACAGGTGCAAACCAAAACGATTTCTCGGTCTAAAAGCAGAAGGCTTCTTAACGTCTTGAACACCGAAAACGAAAAAATGATTGTCTATATCTTTAATTGATTTTAATTGTACCCTTCTGGTCATGGCTACAAGCATCGTTGGTATCAAGCGTTTTGTCTCCCTTTTGGTCATGACTACAAGCGTGGCAAAGCTTGGATCTGTGGATGATCTCCCTGTTGGATCTGAGCGCCAGTACGTCTCGGCGGTGCAGGTGGTGGTGCCTGGCCCAGGCTTTTGGTGCAGCAAGAACGTGAACCGTAAAGGAGTCCCACCAACAAATGTCGTGGAAACTGGGCCACTGCCAGTCTTCTAAGAACAACCTGATTCTCCAGAAATCGAAGAAGCGAACTTCGATCGTGCCATATCTTCACTGATTTCCGACAGAAATGAGTTGCAGAAACAACCAACAGGTCGAACAAGTTGAGACCCCCGAAAGGCAAGTGTTTCTGTCTCAGTCTGCACTTGCAAAAGCAACATAGCCACATCTTAAAGGAAGTCCTCAGATATCTCTACTTCTCGCAGAAGTTCCTACGTTCTTTTTTTGGTCCTGTCCCCAAACCTAAACCACCACCAATGTATAGAAGCCGAGTTCGCCAACGAATTCTCCGCCCCCACCTGCAGCCCAAGCTCTAAAGCCTCTCGTCGCGCCAGCTCCGCGGCTTCCGCCTCACCGCTCCGCGGCTTCCGCTGCGCCGTGGGACGGACGGAAGCGGTGCCCGCCGTCGCGGTGCCCGGTGCGCCTGCGCGGCTTCAGCGGCCTTCATCTTCAGGTAACGGGCGAGCAGGTCTAAGAGGAAACTCTTGCCCGTCCGGTACCTGCGTTTCATCGGGAAGGTGGGCAAAGAAGGTGGGCGAACAGTCCAGGCGGTTCATCGGTATTCGAAAGCGAAAGCGCTCGACACGACTTGCCCCACGTTCGCAGTCGTTTGTGGGTTTTGGACCTTGGATGTCTAAAAAACACAACTACACGTCGAATGGCGCGGGAATGGCACGTGCCCATGACCGCGATGATGGACACAACGCTGGCGCCACAGGCATTTAGTCTTTGACCTAAAAACAGGGCGCGTGAAACCAAAGGAAGTGAAGTGTGTGCAAGTGGAAGCCGCCACCCTTGCAAACTCCCAGTGTTTTTGAAGTAGAAAAGCATGAATGTGTGATTGCGACAACCTTCCCAGAGCAAACCTCAAACCTCTTTGTTGTTCCCCAACAACATCCAGCCCATGGATCCAGCCCAGCATGAAAACACCTCTGGAAAGATAACAAAGAAAGAAACTGCAACCATGGGAATCTGCATGCCTCTCGTGGTTGCAGTGGCTGAAGTGACGCCATGTGACCTTCGTGACACCTGACGGAACACGCAACATTGGACACGGAGTGTCATCATTGGAGCGCGGCTGAGCTCAGCCAGCTCCACCGAATAACCAAAACACAAGCCAGTTGAGGCGCTTCTGGCACTTCTTGGTAGGATTGAATCGGATTGAATCACATCTTTTCTTGGAAGGCGACCCCCATCCGCAAGATGTCTCCGCGTCTCTTTGGACCTTCACTGTTGCATCCCCCAAACCAGCTAAAAACTTTACGCACGGCCCACGACACGTCTACCGTTGTTTGGTCCCATTTCCCACTACCTCGGTGACGCGTCCCAGGCGCAGATTCGTTCCAAGTTCCCCTGTAGGATCTCCACCTCCGACGACTCCTCAGTGGGCTGTCCGGATTTGGGGTCCAAGTCTTCGGCCATCCCGGGAGCCGAATCTTCTTTTTGAGCACCAGACCATGCAAATAGGATATCGTTTACATCACTTCCACGCTTGAACCACAGCCTCTGACGCTGCTGCAGCCACCGCTGCCACCAGTGCCCAGTGTAGTGATGACGAACAGGGCACCAGGCTGGCTTGAGCTCCAAGATTTTCAGCGGCGTATGCTGAACTCCTCAAAACACAAAAATGTTTCAACTTGTTTACCAGGTGTTGGCAAGATGGGTTGGGTGGGTGCGATGGGTTGGGTTTGGTTAATTTTGTTGGTTGCGCGTGTCCACCACTCCTTGACATTTGCATGCTACTTCATGATCTTTGCCCGTTTGTGGTGGCAACGGTGTCCGTTCTGAGATGTTGTCACATGAAGAGAATGGAAAACAATCCAAAGTGTTGAACACAAGAAATTTACAAACATGAGAAAACCTGTCTAAATGTTGCTGGTGCCAGGTTGGTGTACAGCCGTCTCGCATGTCCGACACCAACGCTGTGGCGAAGCTACTTAGTGGATTTGGAATTAACACCCTCAAGCCTCAACATCTGGAGCTCTGGATATTCCGATCCAAACCACTGGTTGTCAACCAAACTCCGCGTTCTTTCGCACCCGCCCCCGCAGTCCTGCCATCGCACCCGACTCTGTGCGCGAACCGGTCGCTCTTCGCGCTCCGTGGCCACATACTCGCCGGCCGGCTTTTGGAGCCAAGATCGATCGTTTCGGCAGCTCGGTCAAAAACGAAAACTCTCACGAAAACGCACCTATTTTCCGGCTATGTTTGAGCCACTTGATCACGTCGGTACACTTCTCATTTAAGTGTGTGTCATCTTGTACGCAGGGGTCATGCTAAGTTTGGACACCGCCTTAGGGAGCAGCGTCTTTTTTCAGCTGTTCCCTACTCAGTCCGTCTTGTGAAACTTTGCTGGCTTCTCTCAGTTCCGCGGCTTCACGTCATGCCACGAGCATTGATTGTTTTTCTTCGCCAGCTTGTCAAACATTCTGAATTCATTCTTCTGGATCGACATTCTCTTTGTCGTCATGTCCTTCGGTGCCATCAGCTTCATCATCTGCTTCTGCACCTACTTCACGGAAGTATTCTTCCTCTTTCTCAGCATCCATTGGATCGTAGTGCCACTCGATCCATGCGTCGGGATCTTCACTTTCTTCTATTGGACCTCCAACTCCAATCCTTTGCTCTTCTGTCTCATCATTTGCTTCCTCTTCTACTTCTTCTTCCTCATTGTCTGTATCATTGTCTCCTCCTGGACTTGTTTCATTGTCCGTGAAGAAATCCAGACTTGACCCGCTCTCAATCCACTTGTTGAATGTAATGGTCGCTGAGTGGTAGGCCAATGGATCTTGCCTGCCACACAACAAGAGCAAATACTCCAAATAGCGAAGTGTGTATCTTGCAGCTCGAATATCACTCCTCAAGTCATGATCCCTTTGGTACTCAAGGCCTCTGATGCGTTCATTCAAATTCCGACATGCCAGAGTGAGTGAAACCTCTGGCCCATGGCCTTCATTGATGAGCCTTCTTCTCGGCATATATAGTTTGCTGGGTTTACGCCGAAATTCAAAAGACTCGTTGCCACTCTGTCTGAAATGCTTGGCCTGAAAATGTTCGCTTCTTCATTTGCTGTTGCATCAGCATCTGGTCCTCTTGACGATAAGACGCAAGAAGAAGATGAACTTGCTTCTTGATGTTCTCCTTCTTCTTCATCATCACCTTCTGTTTTCTTTCTCTTCTTTTCATCTTCCTTTTCATCCTCCTTTTCTTCTTCCTTGTCATCTTGCTCATCTGGCGCTTCCATGGTATGAACTTCCTCTGTCTGCACTACTCTGCTCGGTCTGTCCTCAGCCTCTACATCATTGCCTGTGCTAGCTCCTCTGCCAGCTGCTGCATCACCGTTGGACTTCTGGGTGATTCTCCTCCTCGGTGTGGATGTTCTTGTACTGTGCGATCTTCCATAGATGTAACCATCATCAT